CAGATGATACATTAACCAAGTTCTGTTATCATCATCAGTGCTCCCGATTTAATGACTCTTTTGTTCTCCTTGCGTATTGAATTGTCCTGGGAACAATATATCTATGACTGGTGAACCTAATTAATTCATGGTTTATGTATATTGTATTTCCGAATGACTTGATTCGATTCCATTACTTTGAGTTATTTATTGATTACATTAAAAAAGCATAAAAATAATAATATACATACATACATACAGCGGGTGAATGTTTTATATAGCCGACGAACAAACTCGAGACAAGGGAGTGCATAACAATACTTTATTTCAAGAGCTCTATATGCTTGCTAGAGTTGGCTTGGATTTTATGACTCTTTCTTATTTTTACATTGCAGTTATTATTTGTCGTCGTTCGATTTGATACTTGGAACTGATAAGAAGAGTTATTACTTTTTTGTAAGGATTTATTTTGGTTCATCGTAAATGTTCATCAGAATAGTTTTGTTCTTTACCCAATACAATCATCTTATTATCATCATTATCATCTCTCTGCAATATCTCGCTTTTTGCATGTGCCTCTAACCAAAGGACGAGAAGTCGACTAAATAAATTTCACCGATTCGTCTGTATTATTCATCTGTAATATTTTGCAGAAAGGAAGCGTACTTGACAAGTAAGCCGTTTACATGAATATTCATTAAATATAGTCAGTATCATACGTCAATAATCAATTCAAAATCACGCCGTGGTGCATGCTGAGTTAGTCCGAGACACGGTGTCTTTAGTGGTTAAACTTATATATTTGCACACGTTGCACATATCCCCTCGTCAATATCATCACAGATATCATCTCAGCTCTTGTTTAGTCTTCGGATAGTAGTCACAAAAACTTTATTACTAGTTTGGTTTTGATAGCTATTTATGCATGGATTTGCTTTAGAATCTCAATGATAAAAGTTGATAATTATGTGTAATGGTAGGAAATAAAGTTTGGTATTCTTGGTTGTGGCATGCTCCTATAATAGTAATTGGTAACAGATATTTGTATCAATACTTTACTACTAGCAGCTCAAATTACGAGATGGCTTATTATTATTATTATTATTATTATTATCCTCTCTGAGTTACTCACGAAGGATAGATTTATTATTTTTACTTGACTCAAGATGACAGAAATACTTATAAAGAAAGCATATTCATTTGATGACGATGACGACGACAGTGTGTTGTTTCTTGATCCAAATTTGTTTTCATATTCAGCATTTCAATGTAATGTGACGACTGCATAGTTTAACCGTTGATGACATGCTAATAAGTCACCCACCATCGATAATAACGACTACGAGTGCAAATTCCTAGACGAGTAATGCAGTTAAAGTAAAACGAAACTTATTACTTGGTTGGTGACAAAATGTCAGAAACGGACGACTTTTGCATAAGTGTGTAGTTCAAGTTGATGATGATGGTGGAGATTGAAATGGAATGTATTTTTCCAAATTGATATAAAATCATCACCCGCTGATACTTCTCCTACTACTGGATATGATAATAAGTAATAAAGTCCTTAATTGGGTTCTGTTCATTCTGTGTTCGCTTCGCGGAAGTGAAACCAAGTTTGACCCGGATAAGAAAATGCTTTTTCGTAACAATCCTGTATATATTAACATTCAAAAATTTGATTGGAAATAATTCAGTTTGCAAAGACGATAACATTCCTTCTTGGTTCTGATAGGGAAGAATTTGTGAAATGTATGAGATTCGTTGAGACTTCTGCCATACATTTGAAGAAAGAATGTAGACAGGCATCAGAGTTGCATTCTTGTGAAATTTATCGTTTTCCTTTCCCAAAGGATCACCAATAATATGGCTCATCATCAGAGGATTTGGTTGTCAGTTCAAAGAGCAGTGGTAGCTTTTGCTCCTATGCAAATTTACAATCACCAGCCAGCAAAAGCAGCCTTGCTTAATTTCTGCCAACACATTAGGAAAATATGTATCTTGGAATCTTATTTCTTTCCTCTATAATTACAATGCCCCAAATGCATGGGCTCAAATGAATAGAATTATTTCGGCTACATATTCCTCTCCCGTAAGTACTTAAATATTATATGAGTATCTCGCTCACTCAACATTGTACACGAGAGATGCAATGCACACACACTGTCACAATATGACTTTGTAGAGCCCTGCTGAATCCAAGAAATTTAGGGTTTGCTTGAACTGGTCGGCATTTACATTAGTCACATTCGCATTTTATATGGAACAAATTATGGATGACTCAACTGTGAGCATGCATCACCCAATCTAATCCTACTGACTATGGTTTAGTTTTCTAGTTAGAGTTGTACATACATGAGCAAGTAGGGGCCTAACCTTTGAAAATATCTAAATGCATGCATAGATCTGGCCAAAATGTTTAGCATGTTCTTCTAATCGACCAAGTATTTGTCCTTGTTGATCTAAAACTCTGTTCGTGTTCCATGCACTTACTTGTACATAGCTTGAATTCAAGAAAAAACTTTTGGCATATTATTATAAAGTCCACATTGTGTGTATGTAATATGTGTGCATTACACGTACGTATGTACGTATAGATTTGTTGGTCGGCGTTAGTGTGAATGTGTTGATTTCTGATAATATTGCGAAAGGGCGAGGTGATACATGTGGGTTGGAAACAATGGGATTTTATTTCATGACTCTGATTCATGCCAACATATTATATATTCAGTTATAATCGAGGTCTTGTTTGCCACACAATTGAAGGAATATAACAATATAAAAATAATGTAAGTAAGGGTTAGCACAGTTTAAGGAATTGTCATCATTTGCAACCAGAGGCGGTTTAAATCTATTTCTAGCATGGCATAAAAGTACATAAGTAGTGCTTGGTGCGTAGCTTTTGTCACTAATCACGAGAGGATACTATTCATAACCGTGGGTGCATGCATGGGTGAAATGTCGTTTAGATTGATCATGATTTTTACAGACTAATTAATATTTGTTGCGACCGCGAGGGTTTTTATTGCAACACTCATGCTGATGCTATTGGAGTAATGATGGCTTGTAATTTGATGTCAATGAGCCCGGGTCCGGGTGGGTATTACGTTACATTGAGAATTTGACTCTTTTTATTGGCCTTTCACTCCTCGGGAAGGGCACCACAATAAAGATTTGTCTGGGTCGGATCAACAACAATGACGAGATGATGCGATGTGACTACAGCTCTGACAGCAAGATTTACTAAACTTTGGTAATTACCTGCTACAGCTCTTGGTTCGATACTGGTACTGGTTTTACTTCAATCTAACTCTAAGGTGGTGGATTAGTGAGGGAGTGTAATAAGCATTTAGTAGCAGTTGACGGAGATAAGTTGGTTTCATAATAACGTTAGACGCTCAAGAGAGAGAGTCTTATAAATGGTTTAGTAAGTTGTACGGGTCGTCTCATCTTCTTCTTCTGGTGTCATGTCATGTTAGCCTTTGGCTGTATTAGTCAACCACCCTTCTTCTTCTTCTTTATTCTCCTCCTAAAGGCACGGTAAGTAAGTGGCTCTGGTTTATTGTGGTGGGGTGTCAGGTCAAGTAAATAAACCTGAAGCGAACCGAGTGGAGTGGATGGATCATGCTTTTCGTTCCAAGTAAATAAGCACCCCGACCGACATATGTAACTTGCATGATTACATTCAAAGAGAAAGAAAGAAGAGAGTTTGTGTCAACGTAAAAAGGTGCAAGATTTGAAACTAAAGGGCTGTGTGTGTGTATTTCCATTATGATTTGGTTGGGCAGCAGGTATATGTGTGTACAATACTTATGTACGTGTGTGTACACAGGTCTTTGAGACCGTTGGAGAACCAACCCCTTCGTTCATTTCATATCGCTCTTGGTCAAAGATTGCATGCGTTGACGTTTACTGCTAGCTGCTTCTGGTCTGTCAGGCATGGTGGTGGTGTGGGCTGCTTTTTAGTCCTGCATTTTATTTGTATGCATATGAGGAGGTTTTTTAGCAATGAGCAAGAATAACACGAATGACTAATAGCACACACAACAGAGAGCTTGGGAACGTACTTATGCATTTGAGATGAGCGAGTCCTAAAGTTTTAAAAAGTTGGTTTATCTCTCCTCCTCCCTATTTCGTTGTTGAGTGTGTGTATTGTTGATGGTGTTACCTTTGATGGTTGTTGGTAGTAGTCGGCGGTGATGATGATAAAGGTTGGAGTCCAATATATATACTTACGTATGTATGTATGTATATATATTGCAGTTGCCATATCATCCTCATTTTTCGTCATTGTGGACGGACGGATGGAAAACGAAGAAGAAGATGCGAGTTTAGTTTTTAGCTGGCATCATAATAAGTTGGAGAAGTAAGCAGAGAGTTGTTCTTCTTCTTCTTCTCTCCGAGAGAAGCTGCATGACAAAAGGGAAATGAAGTTTTTAGTGATGCATTGCATGATGCTCCCAGTCAGTATTTATTCCTTGTACATATAGCGAGAGTGGCTTGTTTTATACTCGCTTTTTTGATGATGGTCGTTAGTTAGCGGTTAATGCCGGAGGGTTCTAACAACGAAAGGAGGAGAAGAAAACGCAGCAGCATCGGCACACAGAGAGAGTGCCTTGGTGGTGTTTTGAACCGGTTGAGATGGAGTAACACCTGTTGTCTTTGCCTGCTCCTTGAGACAGTCCTCATGCTGATGCTTCTCTTTCCACCAGAAGAAATAACCTAACCACCTACCTGCCTGACTCAATGTTGTCAAATCCTCATCTTATCTTTTCTTCCTCGCTTTCCTACAAACATAATGGGCTTGCATGTATACCCTCGTCGTCTTCTTGCGGAATACGGTACGGAATACAAGTCATAGGCCAGTCAGTACTTGCCTTCGACGACGTTTTACTTATTATACTCCTCTCTCTTACCTGCCTGCCTGCCTGGTGGATTGGATGGTGATGGTGCAGAGCAAACTCCGTGTTTCTAAAGCTTCCTCATCATCTTCTCCGTCTTCTTACCTGAGCTTTTGGCTCAAGCAAGAACGTCTCACTCACTCCAAACCTATAATGCATAAAGGTAACATCTTTCCCTTCTCGGTTTCTTCCTCGTCCGAAGAAGAACTGATTCTCCTCTGGCTTGAGTAAAACTACGACATTTACTACCGCACTCACTCACACCATCGTTTGTCTACCTGCTATTCAGGCAGTGTAACAAATGCTAACGAGTAAAAACCTTCACCAACTCTTATTACTACACCCTGGTTTCAACTACTTACTACCCGGATCGGACAACATACTTCCGTGTTACCATCGTCATCATCATCTCTCTCACTACAGTCTCGTCATACCACGCTACAGTTGCGCTTAATAAGGATCTGCAAGTTTGTTTGTGCCACAGCTAAATACAGAGCTAAATACTCGTATGTATGTGTCGACATATTTATTAATCAACGCTATTGTCGTATCTCCCAGTATCATAATAATATTAAGTACTAAGCGAGTGACACTAATTATCCAAATTAAAATTAGTGAAATTATCAGTGTTTATTTGCCACACGTGCGTTGCTTATCAAAGATCGGAGGGTGAAGCTCACCTTTCCCCTTCATTACGTGCCTTATCTAAAAAGTGTTGTGTGGTTTGACTCTCATTATTTATCAGTACCACATGCATCCATATTAAATAAAATAGTGAATACAAGAAGAAGGGGACTGTGTGTGTTTTGCATGTAGTTATTTATTTATTTGAGCTACTATACAAAGTGACAGACAGCAAGAAGAGATCAATTCTTCCTGTTGTTGTTATGTTCTTACACCTTCGGGACTTGGGTAATTTTCCTACTTATTTAAACAGGCATGAAAAAGGGGAAAGAAAGCGGATGAAAAAAATAATATATGAAGCGCTTTGATTTACATCATTTACATGCATGCAATACATACTGTTGTACAGTGACATTATTATTTTTTATTGACTGTGCAGTGTAATATTTGCATCATTAAACTTTCCCTGTAACACGGGAATTATTTTTTGTTGGACAACTGTTCTGAAAAAGCGTCAAAATTCCGTCCTTTTGTGATCCAGGTAAAAATTACATTACCTTTGTTTAAAGTTGGTTGGTTACTAAGCTAGTTTTTTTGGGGGGAATTACATGCATAAACATTATTGTCATACAAGTCGCGTTGAAAGTGACGAGACTGAAAATTGAGGGTAAAATAAAATTTTGGAAAATATAACGTGGAGAAATACATAGGATTCCTTTAGAGGAGCAGGTTAAATGTTTGGCATAGCTGGGGGAAGTCCTAGTTTGATGCACACTCTGGGCAAGCAAAGCAGCCTGTTTTGTTGTGTTGTAATAGATTTGTTGCATGGCTTCTGGCCTGGACTCTCTTATACGTTATTATTTTACTCGTAGACTCTAAACCATCGTCATATGCACATCGTCGTTTCGTTGGTATCAAGTTAAAGTTGGGTCTTTTAGTGTATAAACCTTCCTATCGTTTTGAACTCTATAGTCGACATCGTCGTTCGTCCACACTAGTAATAAATGCAGCTTGGTTGGTTTTTGCTCTCGTACAGTTGTTTCTCGCTGTTGCATCGCATCATCATCATCATCCATCCCCTACCTTCTTCTTTACCTAACCCTTTTTCCACAACAGCACATCATTGTTAAGACCAGGCCGAGTATAACGACGCTTTGTTCATATATCTCGGAGAGGAGCAGTACTTTTGGTTTGGAGAGAGCTTGTCGTTTTCCTATATCAAATATACCCATCCACGAAAAACTGACTCTCCGTAGTCCATGGATTTATTTAGATTTGAAGAGATGCACGGACGTGTACGGTGTCGGAGGAGTAGTAGTGTACGCACAATAATAAACTAATGACAGATAGAACTACGAGGTACTTTGGTTCCTCTTAATCTTTATAAACTCTATTGTGCATTATATTATTACGCTCACTCCGTTTTTTTTGTGAATCGAGATGGGACGTGGGGCATATGCTTTTTACTCGGTGGCTTTTGTTAGCCTGGCTCTTTCCAACTCTCTCTCTTTATACTCGTACTTACTACGGTTGGGTCTTAGAGAGAGCAGATCCTCGGAAATCGGTGTGCCAGTAGTGGTACCTTTATCATCCATATCGTAGAGGAAGGAAGAAGGAAGGACAAGTCCGATGCAAGTTTTACTTGAACCTTAAGAGCACTGAATATAATAAAGAGAAGAAATGATGTGTGTGTGTAGGGGATGACGCGGTGATTGTATTTACGTGTGTATGTAATAAGTGTGCATGGATGTGTTGTTGGAGGGAGAATGAGGAAGGGTACTTACTACACGTGGAAAAGTGGACCCTCATCCAATACTAATAATATATATAACAATCCCTTCTCCACCTGACATGAGGAAAATCAGTCCATTAAGGTTTAAGCTGGCCTAGCCTAGCCCTTGATATTCCCAAGAAGGCAATCGTCTTGGGCTGTTGTTTCACAGGGTGGTTCATATGCATGTTGGGCTAAAAGGAACAACAGCCGTGTAGTGTAGGGGCAAATGAGTCAGTTTCTTACCCGAGGTGGAAAAGAAGGAAGGACCACTACTCACTCATGACTACCTGGTCGGCCAACATCATTACGAGTTTGTGATGGTAATACGGCGAGTTACCTTGAAGAAGACGAAGACGACGAAGGAGAAAAAGTACCCCTGAGCTATCCACACGGTTTAAAAATCCCCAGGGTCGACTGATTGCAGTGAGTTTGCTGCAAGCTCATCTTCTGGCAGCTTAAAGCTCAGTATCTCTACATTTATACATAAGTATACGACGATATTCTTCTTTGAAATGGTTTTTCTTGGTGGCTGTTGACCATGATTTTTTTGCTGCTGGATGGAGGAGGAAGAAGGAGCAGTCCTCCTCCTATGCAGGGAGGGAGAGCAGCTAAGGAGCTGCTGCTTTTGATGATGGAGAGAGAGGAACCTTCATCTTCTTCCCTGGACTTATAATGCATGATGATGTTATTCTCTGTTCATGTGGCTGAATGTGATTATTATTACGCTCTCCTTGGTTGGTGGTGATGATGATGGTGGTGGGATCAAAAGAGAAAGAGAGACGAAAGTATATGCACTACCAGGCAGCGTCCGATCCTTCTCCGTCTTAAAGTCTGCCTTGGTCAGGATGGGACGGGGATGATTTGCGTATGGTGGTATAAAATAAGGAAGACGTGAAATTAACCAACTGCCCACCTTGAGCAGTCGGATGGACGGATGCTGAAATCTGTGCAGCCAGCAAGAAAGGGCGTTGTTAAGAGCGTTTTTATGACTCTACAAAGATCATCCCTTGTTCCTTCTCTCTTTGTTTTCAACCTGAGCCCTGCTTCATCTCCCGTAAACAAAACCACCAGCCAACCTGCTGCTCTCCTACACATACATACGTACACACTACAACACAATGAAATTCAGGAAATAAAAAACAAATTCAAATTGTACTCCGAGTCTCAGTCGTGCTTTGGCCTGGTGTCAACCAATTCGCTGGGATTAGCAGTACTAATTCACCATGCATTTCCTTCCAGTTTGACGTGCATCATTCACAGCGTTGTCCAGTGGTCATATACTTTCTCGTGGTTCCCGATTGTTTCTTTGTGGTGGGAATTAGACTCCCAACGTGCAATTCTAGATACTTGCAAGTTCAAGGGTCCCCTTAAAGAAATCAAGAATTATGTGCAATATTTATCTTTAAACTTCTTCAACAAACAGATGATTAGCAGCAAACATGGTGTTTTCCATTTCACAGCTACTAAGTATGTACATACGCCAAAAGAGGTTTTTAGTTTATGTGTTTTGTGTATTTGGACTGTCTCACTTTCTACGTATCACTGCACACATCATGATTTATTTCAGTGTTTTGACATACGTACTTTTTTCTAATTGCAGCTATACCTTCCTCCGAGTCTTCGTCATTAGCCATCAAGCTGTCTTCCCCCTGGACTCCGAATTCGGCCCCCGCTCCCGACAACGGAGCGGGGAGTGACCGCAGTCTTGATGTCAGTGACGTAAGTTGACAAACTTTTATTTTGCATTATTTTCTGCGAGAGTGAGAGAAAGGAGATGTAGAAAGTTGTAAAATTTCATCTTATTTTCTTGATATTTTTGATCGAAGCAGCAATAATAACCAAATCTCTTTGTGCTTTCACTTTTCCAGGATGACAAGGACTTATCGTCTTCAGATGCGGAAGGAGTTTGGAGCCCGGATATTGAACAAAGTTTTCAAGAAGCCCTTGCCATTTACCCACCATGTGGCAGAAGAAAAATCATCCTATCTGATGAGGGTAAAATGTATGGTGAGTCAATGCGTTTCTTTTTGAAAGCGGATATTATAAACTCCATAATAGTTAGTGTATATGTATATGGAACAAGTTTCAGACCTACATGAAACCATGATTAAATGTCGGGCAGATTTTTTAAAAACTTTAAACTTATGCATTATTATCAAAAAACACTTTGATTTGATTTCGGATCTGATTAGAACGTTTGGGACAAAACAAAGGGGTGGCAGTCGTAGTGGTCGGTCGGTCGGTCGCATAAAAAAGAGGAGCATCATTATTAAAGCATGAAGCAGAGGGAATAATAGTTCAGAGACCAAAAGACTAAGGAGGATTATATTATATAGAATCGCGTCCATGCAAGAAGAAGTGCTGGTCACTTCATCTTGATGGTGTCAGTTATATATTTTTCACTCTTATTCTTCTTCTGCATGCAAGTGCAACAGCGTGTTGTTTTGCTTTACTGGTCTCTTGGCTGGCTGGTTGATTGGTATATTGGTGAAGAGCATCAGCGAGAGAAGATGAGTTTACTTACGAAAGCGAACAACTCATATGCGGGTTTTTATTGAGCTCTGTGTTAGAAAGAGAGAGAGAGAGAGCATGATGTGGTTTTAGTCAGTCCACGTTTGCTGAAGAAAAACGCTGGCTAAACCCAGCTTCACCCTGCCTGCAAAGATGAAAAAGAATACAATGGGTGGATGATGTAAACTGGTTTTTACTTTGAAAGCGTCTCTCTCTCTCTAAACCACTTGGATGTGGACCTGTGGCTGACTTGTCCTACCAAAAGCTCTCTCTCGTAATAATGACGATGATGGGATGGGACCGTATTAGTTGGGATAGAGGACGGATGGACAGTCAAGTGTTTACTCTGTGTAACGCTGATTTTTGACTTTGCTAGTTAAATTTTGATCTGATGTCGACGTCGTCGTCGTTGTCGTGTAGCTGGTCACTTTTGTTGAGGACAGATGACAATTCACCTTCTTATTTACCGGGATGGACGGATGGATGGATGGAGAGGGATTAGGATTTCCTACTTTTACCAAATGCAGAGATGTCTCAAAATGTCATGAGTCCATCCAATTTGGATACACGAAATAAGATTTAGTTCTAAATGTATTGTGCTATACGGGCTGTGTAGCTGGCAGGTTACATGTTTTTGTGGGTATGTATGTACGTACGGACGGGCAGAGTGAAAGAGGATGGATTAATTGAGATCAGTTTGCCCCTGCGTGATTCATCTACCTAATATCTGGGGTTAGGTTGAGAACTTTGTCATTTAATTACGAAATGGTAATGGCAGTCTCGTAGTCTGACTCTTGTTGAGGAAGTTATGATTGGTTAGCCGTTGTTTCAGGGTATGTTTTTAATCTCCATATTTTTTGCAGTCCATGAAATATAGCAAACATGGTTGGTTGGTTTTGTTGCAATTACTGTGGAGTAGGCGAGATTGGGAGAGGAGTTATTGTGCATTGTTTTGTGGAGAGACTCGACTGACTGGTTGTTGAGTAAGGGTTTCAATTCAAAGTCAATGAAATAAAGTAGAACCAAACGAAAGGAGAGGAGTTGAAGAGAGAGAAATTCTCCGTCTTGTTTATATCAATATTTCGCTCCGTTGTTGGCAGTTTAGTTGTGTGTGTAGTCAACAGCCATGCATCCGAGAACTGGAGAGTCCGGGCATTATGGGTCGACGGTTGGTTGTTGGCTGAACTGAGGAGGAGAGCTTCACCACCTGCCCCTCTCAGATCTTGATGTGCTTTGCATATGTGGTAGGGTCCTATGAGTGTACTATAACCCTAAAGTGGTTTGACTCCATGGCCACATTTGCGCCCGCCACACCCACTCAAAGGGATGAAAACCACAAAAGTTACCAACTTCAAAAATCCACCAAAAATCCAATTTTGATCGGATTTTGATAAAATTTTCATTTTTGTAATCCCAGATACTTGCTTGATCATATCCAGTAGCAATCTCAAATTTTTTGAAATTTTCGAAATTTTCGGGCATTTTCGGGGTGATGAATTATTCGAGAAAATTCAAAATTTCAAAAAAGTTGAGATTGCTACTGGATATGATCAAGCAAGTATCTGGGATTACAAAAATGTAAATTTTACCAAAATCCGAGCAAAATTGGATTTTTGGCGAGGGTTTGAACAAGTGAAAACAGGGCTTTTTTCGTGTTTTTGGCGCCTTTGAGTGGGTGCGGCGGGCGTAACTGTGGCCATGGAGTCAAACCAGTTCAGGGTTTTAGTACACTCATAGGACACTACCACATATCCAAAGCACATCAAGATCTGAGAGGGGCAGGTGGTGAAGCTCCCCTCCTGAGAACGGGAGGCAGGCAGGCAGGCAGCAAAAGCGGCGAGTGGTGGTAGTTTTCCTGGAGTCCCTTTTAATGTTTTTATACACCGTTTCCTACAGTCACTAATTGGACATTCTTGGCATAGTTTAGTTGAATATCGCCATGGATTCCCCCTCTCTCCCTCCCTTCTTCCCGGGTGATTTGTAGAATCGACCGGCAGATTCCGAGCACTCGCTTGTTCCTTCTTCTTCTCATCCAGCTAGGCTAGAGGGAGGAGGTTCAGCCAGCCTCACAAATTGCATCTGTCCCGCTTTTCTCCGCCAGTATTTATATACAGCCGTACAACATACAACACATGAGGAGTACAAGCAGCTTTAGCTTTGGGAAAGCAGACAGGGGGTCCTCTACAAATTCTAATTCGGATGCTTTTTAACGTCCTCGTCCGTTGACTTGGTTTCTACTTCTTCCTCCTCCATTTTATTCAATCTCCTCCTGCTGCAAACACCAGCATCCGAGCGTCGTCTCACTTTCTTCCTCTTGTTCTCAAATGCATGGCTTTTACTTACGGCAAGAAAGATGCTGATTCCTCTTTGTCCAAACTGCTACGCTACGTATACCATGTCATTTCTGCTGCTGCTGCCTCGCAGGCTGCCTGACTCCTTTGTTCTTGGCAAGATTCACCTCCTCTTGACGTTTATTACACCACAACCCGTACTTTCTTCTATCCCCATGCATAAGGATGATATGATAATAATCATTGCAAGTTGATGCCCTTAGTTAGTACACACGTTGTATTAAAGCATATTGGTTTTGTTCCCGGTAACAATTTATCCGCTACAAAATTTCATCTTTGGTTGAGGAAACGGTTTGGGTTTCGCTTTCCCCGTGGAACTGAGTGAGTGATACGGTGATGGTGCCATGAAGGCGAAAATGTGGATAAAATGAGTTTTGTTCCTGAGCTCGGATGACAAATTATATTTCCAAGGACAGAGAATGCACCACATAGACGAATACATACAAAAAAAAGGATGCGACAGAACGGTGGTGATGGTGGAGAAAGCCATAAACCGTGGATCCGTCGGAAAAATCAGCTCCGGCTTTGTTCTTTCACATTCCACACATCCAATAATGCGTTTTTGAGATTGTTCTCGCTCGTCTTTTCCAATAACAGAGAGAATCAGGAGCTCAATTCTTCTTGTGACGGACATTTATTGTGCTTTCGAGCACATGCAAGTAAGACTGCAGCGAGCGGGAGTGGTATTGGTGAGTGAGATGGTGAGAGAGAAAGACAGAGAGAGAGAGAGAGAGAGAGAGAGTAAGAAGAAGGAAATACTTTCCCTCAAGTTGATTGGCTGCAAACAAACCACTAAAGCATCGCTTTAGGTAAAGTTTTCAACAACTCCCAAATGTTCTCCGTTTATCATTTCACTTTCCGACCGACTAAATTGCACAAAGTTGCCCTGCTTCTTATATTATGCTCTGTACTGTACTCACTCAACTATGACAGGTAGTTCTTATTTATTGTACTTTGCTGCACCACCACAACATTTCCCATAACTTTGTTCATCATCTTCGTACCCTTCTGTGGTGCACCTAATGCAATTTTCTGCTATATTACGTACACTGCTAGTTTTGCGTATGAAATTCATGAAGGCATAAATGATGATAATGAGGGTTGGCGTTGGCATGCATTTTTGGAATTACTTAAAAACGAAACTTTCTTGGTTTTATGACGGGCTTAAAGTTGGACAGAGAGAGAGAGTAAAGTTGGACGGCATATTTCTGAGTTTTGGTCCTGCATATCTTTGGAATGTATCGACAAGAGCAATTGATCTGAGACTTTTATTGAAACAATATACTCAATACAGGACAAGTTGGAGAAATACCAGTCTTTGATGACTCAAAAATTTTAAAAATTTTGTAGCAAACGAATAGGCGTAGCGTGGTTTGGAATTCTTCATTTTGTTCTGCGACATTGGATATGTATATTGTGACTGAATTTACTAGGTTGGAGCTATGTTCTTGTAATCTCGATATATACCAGACCACGTGGTGGTTTTAAGATGGAGAGATCATTGATGTATTTATCTTCAGTCATTATTTGATACTTGTTCCATACGTTGCAGTACATTAATACATTATTTCTGACCACGTTCTCAAAAATTTTACTTGTTTCTTGATTTCAGGGAGAAATGAGTTGATAGCAAGATATATAAAACTACGAACAGGAAAGACCAGAACCAGGTATGTACAAAATTATTTATTATGACCAAATTAAATACTATCTATTAAGAAAAGTTCCAATGAACATTTTAGTTCTCCTTGAACACCTTTTAAATGCAATCTAGCAAACCCAAACTAATTTCTAAAAATGAACGTCATGCTACCATCACACCACTTCCAAAAAGCTTCCTTTCTGTTCCACCACCAACTTCATGTGATACATGAGTAAAACCTTGCTATACATAAGGTGAACGAGTTATGTACTGTGCGGATGGAGCAAAACTTACGAGAAACCCTAGTCTCAGCACAAGATACTTTAGGAGGCCGTAGGTTTTAGCTCCACCCGCACAGTACATAACTCGTTCACTTTATGTATAATAATTAATTCTAGGAAACAAGTCAGCTCTCACATCCAAGTTCTCGCACGCAGGAAAATGCGTGAAATTCAAGCCAAACTGAAGGTATTAAGTTTGAATGATTCCTCATGTCAAGGCGCATTTTCTTAACAAACTTTCTCATTTAAGCAAAATCAGGATCAACAAGCCAAAGACACTCAAAAGGCTCTTCAGACGATGTCGTCAATGTCCAGTGCACAAATTGTATCTGCAACTGCCATGAATAAGGCTGCAGCTGCTGTCGGTTTAGCAAAACTTGGGCTTGGAGCGACTGTCCCCTATCCAGGAGCAGTAAGTCAAGTGCAGCAGTTGTTTAATTATTAATCATCATGTTCTTAATTTAAATTGATCAATTTGTTCCCGTTTACAGTTTTGGCAAGCTGGTCTTCAACCAAATTCTCAAGAGTAAGTCAAATTTTTATTGTAGTGCTGTGATTTGTTGCTCGTGTAATATCACTGTTTGTATAACAAGCAAGAGTTGCTTGAATTACTTTCATTTAGTGCCCTGTAAAAGAAATGGGCCAAGTGATGATATAAATTTAAGAGTCGAGTGGGATGATAATTTTTTGTCGGTCTCGTGGGGATATTAGTCAGAAGAACTGACAGAATACTAAACATTCAGTATAGTAGTATACACAATTGTCAGTTTGGCTAAATTTCCTAGCCCCAAACAAGCTGAAAAAAATATATTCAAGTCCACTTTTATTTGATTGAGTATCAATTTTCTCATAATTTTTTATCGTGTATTTTTTTCGTAGTGTCAAACCGTTTGCGCAAACTATGTACGGTGGTCCACCTGGTGCCAACGCTCATCCTGCGGGGGGTGGAAACGGGCCCTCCGATGTAATTTCCGTTCCTCCTGGATCTGGATGGGAAGGAAGAGCTATCGCCACACACAAACTCTGCTTGGTTGAGTTCTCAGCTTTCATGGAACAACAAAGAGACCCAGATACAGTATGCACACATAAACATCTACATATTTGCATATGCTCGCGTTGTATATAAATTTAGAGTTACTGGATTTGTCAAGAATTTATATTTAATATACTTTAATATACTTTAATATTTAATATTTATATTTAGTATCAGAAACATTTATTTGTGCAAATTGGACCGGTGTCATACTCCGACCCAGTGCTTGAGGTAATTGATGGGATGATAGCATTTAGTGAATGCGAAATAAAATATATACTTTGTAATGTAATAAAAATTATGAATCTTTCCTGGTTACATTTATTAGGCTGTCGACGTGCGACAAATCTATGACAAGTTCCCAGAGAAGAAGGGTGGTCTAAAGGAGCTATATGACAAAGGACCTCAGAATGCTTTTTTCCTTGTCAAATTCTGGGCCGATCTCAACTCTAATATCCAGGATGAAGCAGGAGCATTCTATGGTGTCACCAGCCAGTAAGCACTCATTTTAGAATGACTAATCACAACTCTGCACGAATGAAGAATCTGCAAGTTATAAACTCTTCGTGTTCTCAAACATTCTTTGTGTGTAGGTATGAAAGTAATGAGAACATGACCATCACATGCTCGACAAAAGTATGCTCTTTCGGAAAGCAAGTAGTGGAGAAGGTGGAAACCGAGTACCCAAGATTTGAAAACGGCCGCTTTGTATATCGCATCCATCGCTCCCCGATGTGCGAATACATGATCAATTTTATTCACAAATTGAAGCATCTTCCCGAAAAATATATGATGAACAGCGTCTTGGAAAACTTCACCATTCTTCAGGTACTGAGTGGTTGCTCAAAATGGTTTCAAATTTTTTTAGAATGAGTTTCACTGTTTTTCATAATATGTTTTATTATTGGATACAGGTTGTGACAAACCGAGAGACTCAAGAAACCTTGCTTTGTATTGCTTATGTATTTGAAGTATCTTCCTCTGATCACGGAGCACAGCATCACATTTACAAACTTTCATGTACCCCCCTTTAACCAGATGGGTCCAGCATTTTCTCTCGCCAACATCCTTTAAATTATGTAGTGGTAAGTTTTGGTCCAAGTCTTCTCCCGTAAGATTTATCGTATTTAAAAGACTGATAAAATTATGTTCTTTTACTTCAGGTCAATAACCCATTGTGGAAATCCCTTTTTGCACTGATGGTGACTACAAAATGCTGAATATCCCCAACAACTTGTGAAAGAATATAATAATACAACTCGAAAAGGATGATCAAGTATATATATTACCAACAACGTATTTATTGTCTGTGAACTGTTCTTGAGCTATTGGCGAAACTATCGTGAGATTTACACTAAATACCTTCGGTGAAGGTACCTATGCAAGAATCAGAGTTCTTCGTCTCAACTTATCGATTTCGATCGAAGTGCCTTCTCTATACTCCAGCAGAATTCTTGTATACATGCCCTTATACATAAATACATAACACATACATATTCAATGATGACTACAAGTACTGATTTTTTTTTATCTTTTTGGCAATCGTTTGTGGTTAGTTTTTGGTGTAATATTGAATCCTAGTCTCTATGAGGAAAACTCATGATTTTCCTCCGTCCGTATGAAATATTTTTGATGATGTCAATCATGCAAGGTTTTAAATCATATTTTATAAATGTCAATTAATATTTCTAGCGTGGTAATAATATGACGGAACCCGTACCATTGTACTCTCATTTGTCAAGTATAATTATGTGCCAATAGAATTTATTTATAGAGTTTCGTTGTTTAAAAATGCGTTGTGAGTTCAAACGTGACTTCAAAGCTTATCCATATCAATATTGTAGTTTCATAGAAAATGACATAGATACTGACATGAAGCTGTATCGTTATACCTTTCTTAATTAGGTTATCATCATCTTTGTAGCTAGATTTTTAGATATTATATAGTATCAATTCGTTGACTCCTTATGTGATGAGATTTGAAGCGAGTTGTAAATTATTTTGTTCTCCGGCTTCTAAATAGTACGGGAGTGAACCACCAACCACCAACAACAATTGTATGAGCTCTACCTACAATTAACACTTTTTCATAGATACATATTATATATTGTTGTTCAGTACGATAGAACGGTTATACTTTCCCCTAGTATTAACATTTCTCTTCATTGTTCCGTTGTAACTGATTATAGTATTCAGTTTTCAATCAAGGAGGTATCTCATGCAGCTATGCGCTGGTCAAACTCATAATTGTGGCCTATCAAGTTTATTTACCAATAAAGACCCAACTCAAACTCCTTGTGTCCGTCCACTACCATTTATTTATTGATAATCAAACTGTGCATTACACTTATCCTTCGCATTGTTACCTCATGTCTCATGTCTCATATCATATTCCATATTTACTAAATATCGCATCCAACCTGACACGATAATGTCATCTAAACGGTTCATGCAATTCTTACATACAGATAAAAGTCACACCATGTGGAGAGATTTGCTACTTTTTCTTAGTTATTTTTGAATCATGGTGAAGTAGAATAAAAAAAAGTGTGTAAATTAAAAATGTGTCTAAAACCAGCAAATGCGAAAACTCATTGTTCCATACTCTTCCATGTGAGGCCACTTGAGACTATAGACAGACACGCCGACCACCACCACCACTACCACCGACGAATTAAAAAAATGCCTAACGGTCAAGACTGGACAGCGAGCACGGAGAAGATTCGAGAGCGTCGTCTGCTTTTCCCTTCTCTTGCCTCACTCTCTTCCCATATTCCTTCCTGTGCGGATCGTCCTCTACATTTCTCCGACTTCAAAGTTCTGAGAAGTTGACCAACAGTTTTCGAACTTATATTTCCAATCCACCAAGTCTCCACCCCACACAGAATTCTACTGAACAAGGTGAGTGATGGTATTTCTTCACTTTTTGATGGGAAGAGAAGAAAGGGTGAGTTAATTTCTAAAGGTCAGATCAAGGTGAGTTTTTTTTTGAGACTGATTGTGGAACAGAAAGATTTATGGGTATGGTTCTTAGTTCTTAGATTCAATTTTAGTTTTAGCTCTTATTACCTAGAGGAGGAAGGGATTGATTGATTTTTGAAAGAAATCTCATTTTTTTAGACTAGTTGATTGATTGCAAGAGAGAGAGGAATTTAATTGATTTTGTGGGTGTCGTTTTCAGATGGCTGACAGAGTGAAAGAACTCACGAAGCAGATGGACGACGTGAGGATGTCGTCGCCAGTGAAGAAGCGGCCACACCTCCCGCTCACTGAGGCCCGACCACTCCGCGTGAAAGGCGAGCCTCGACTCGACGTGAAAAAGATTTCAATCGTGGTGAATCACTATCCCGTAAGTTCGAATTAGTTGAAACTTTAAATTAATTAATCTAATTATGTTTCTAATTGGCTTATTAATTAATTTACTTATAATATTGAGGTATTTTTCTTTTCTCTTGTATTCCAGGTCACCTTCGAACGAAACTTTCCCCAAACGCTTACGACGCAGTAATTGAGAATGTGGAAAATCGTATCGTCCGACCAGACAGCTGCCGCCGCCGCGAAGAAGAGGAAAGATGCTCAGGTGTTGAAAGCGGCGAAGGAAGGGCGCGAGATGGCTGGGCTCCCCGACCGAATGCTGCCCATCATCTGGAAGGAATTTGAGACCCAGTGCCAGGCCACGCTTAGAGCCACGACTCCCTTCGATGGGAAAAAGAACGTCTACACAGCCAGACGTCTACAACTTCCGAATGGGGACGCCTTCACGGCCACTTTTGACATGGATGATCCAGACGACCCGGACAAACGGAGGCGATTTCGAGTCACGATAAAACGTAAGTAAAAAAAGCATGTCTAACAAATTAAAACTTGAACACCCAACGTTTTTGAAATTCTAATTCATTCATCGATTTGTGTGCTAATGTAAAAGTAATTTCCTCTCTTCATTAATTTCTTAGTGGTCGCGACAGTTGCCACCAACTCGGTGATCGAGTTTCTTGGATCAGGGCTGGAGAGGGGCAAACAGGTTGTCCAGCCTCAGGATGTGATCCAAGGCCTCGACGTCCCCCATCAATGCACTTCATCAGCTGCAACCGCAGCTTCTTCAATCCTTTCCCACAGAACAGACATCCGCTGGATTCAATGTTGGAGTTGCTGCACGGCCACTATCAGTCGTTGTGCCTCGGATCCGAAAATACTGCTACTCTCAATATTGATTGTAAGGACGATCCACTTAATTAATTTCGACTGCTTGATATGGAACTCTTGTTTATTTTGCAGTGGCGACCAAGGCGTTCTATAAACAAACGCCACTTGCAGAGTTTGCTCGCAGTGTTTTAAAGTTGCACAAGGATGACTCGCTCGACCTTGTTTGTTGGGACGACCGAACGATTGATGTGGTCTCGGAAGCTTTGAGAGGTAAGGTGATAATAATAATTGCAGAACGTAGTCTTACAGTGGATTCTTTTTGTGTGCAAGGCAAACTCATCAAATATGGAACAGGACGTTGCAATCAGAAAGGTGTCTACGAGAAGTACCACCAATTCACGGCGAATGGGCTGATCTTGCGGTCCGCGGAAAATTACGAGTTCAACATGACAGACGAAAAGGGCATCACAAGGTCAATCAACATTGTCCAATACATGCAAAAATTCAAGAACACGACCATTCGCTTCCCCAAATGGCCCGTGGTGCATATTGGGAATAAGAACATGACGAACTACGTTCCACTCGAGCTGTGCATGATCATCACGCAGCCGTATCGCAGAAAAATGGAACCCAAGCTCACGAGCGCTATGATCAAAGGCGTTGCCATCGAGCCAGTGGCTCGTTTCAAGGCAATCGACCAAGCGGTAAGAAATCCTCGATTTTTTAATTAAGATTTGAGCATCGTATAAAATTGATAGCTAAAAAGTTACGATATTTATTATTTTGTCTTGTTTTTACAGAGAAAAGGAAGTTCTTCGAAACCAACCGAGCTTATCCCACGCGCATCAAAGTTTTATCGTGACTCGAAATCGCCTCCGTTTGTCCGGGTCATCTGGATCGTCCATGTCGAAAGTGGCCGTGAAGGCGTCCCCATTCGGAAGTTGTAGACGTCTGGCTGTGTAGACGTTCTTTTTCCCATCGAAGGGAGTCGTGGCTCTAAGCGTGGCCTGGCACTGGGTCTCAAATTCCTTCCAGATGATGGGCAGCATTCGGTCGGGGAGCCCAGCCATCTCGCGCCCTTCCTTCGCCGCTTTCAACACCTGAGCATCTTTCCTCTTCTTCGCGGCGGCGGCAGCTGTCTGGTCGGACGATACGATTTCTACATTCTCAATTACTGCGTTATAAATTTTACGACGCAGTAATTGAGAATGTGGAAATCGTTACGATTCGTAATGATACAGCGTTTGTGGAAAATTTGGTGGCTTACCGAGCTCAACATCTTCTCGAGAGGGAGGGGTGAGTAAAAGCTTCTTCTGCTTCATACTTAGTCGAAATCTTTTCTGCGTGTATTTATTTAGTTGCAAATTTTCACGAAATTTGTGTTTTTTTGCAGTGAGAAGGCTGACTTGGTCGATCTCGCCGAAAAGTTGACAATTCATCCCGACTTGGCCAAACGCTATTCGATGTTCTTCGTATAAAGTATGGATCTTAAACTACACGACTTCATAATGATAATTGGATTGATAAAGTCGATTTTCTATTATTCTTCCATTGTTGTTAATATTTTTATTTACTTATTTATTTTGTTGAAGTCATTTTATTGACTGTTTTGGATTTATTTCATGTAAAAAGATTCTTTTACTGTCATTTAGATTACTTTTAATTCATGGCAGTTTAAATTATAACTCATTTTAAAGTTTAGAATAATTTAGTGAAGTTGTCACAAAAATATGTTACAACTATTTAGACATGTGCAATAAAATATGGCATACTAAAAATTGCTAAATTGTTATAAATTGCATGCATAGATTCCTCCACTACTGGAGACCACTTTGACATTGATACATACCAGACTAATTAAATTATGCAATAGTGTGACGACTTTTAAGACAGTATGTTTTGTTACGTCTACTGTTGCTGAAATGTTGCAGAAAGCTCAACAGCTTTGTCAATCAAATTCTCATGCATGACATTCACGTTGTTATCGCACAAATTGTCAACGGCCTTGCATGCCTATACTGCACACACACACGTACCACGCCATGCGCAAAGTTATCATTAAGAATAAGATGAGTTTATGTTGTTGATTTCTTAAAACGTGATAGAATCGAGATAAAAATGAGTTGCATTAGTAAGCCCTATTTTCGGTGTGGAATTCAATGCAATACAAGTTAAAAATACACATCCGAAGCAAGAACTCTCTCTTCTTCCAGCTCCAGACAAGTACAAAACTTTTAATATTTTGTGACTACTATTTCCTCGCCCTACCGACCTTTTCGTCGTCACTGTAAATAAAAATGCTCATGCTCAAAACAGATTTGTGGATGCACTATTTAGTTGGCAAATCACTCCTTGCCATCGTAGTATTTCTCCTGAAAAAAAGTAACTATATTGACAACACGGTTGTCTCCTCCGTTTATTTATCGTGTGGGCGTCAATTCAACAACGCTTGTCCATGGGACGACATTCGCTAATCTAGAAATGACAACAGTTATATAATAACAGCACATAAACTGTTTACTCAAGTTCTATTATTGTCCCCCGACTCCCACGATGTTGGTAAAATGGCCTGAAATCGCTTTTACGAAATTATTTAAACTAATAATTCGCCCGTCTTTCTTTGCGTAAGTAAACGTAAAAAAATAATTTCATACACGATACAAGGTTGCCATCAAGGTTTTTCAGGTATTGACAGGAGTTCGGAAATTATGGCTGGCATGCGAAGGCGACGGTATGCATGAGACGGTTTCTTGTTATCGTATGAGGTGTATGATGCCGTTGTTTAGATCTGTTTAAGCAGTGGCAGAGATAAAAAATATATGTCCGCCACATCTCAGCAACAGATTACCGTGGCCTTAGTCGAAGTGGAGGCGAAGATACTGAGTAATGTTTCAGAACGAGGATGATAAGCTTTGCAATTGTGGGTGTGTGCCATTCCTTGGTGGTAAGTGTATAGGTAAGTGTAAGTGTGAATGTAAAAAAAAACGTGCTTTCACCCACAATTCCGAGCACGAGTTGTCCCATACAATGTTGGTACAGTACTATTCGAGCTCTGGAACATCCAACCATCATTTGATGTTTGATATGTGAAAATAATGGTAAGACTTGGATTTGATTTTTGAGTGAGACACGCGACGACGAACGTGTTGGCGATATTATTCTGCATGAGAAAAATTAAGGACACAATTTGTGAGAGCACTGATCATGAAGCCATCGTGGGCTCTCGACTTTTCGAACAGTTCGGAGCGTGGTAGTCGGTAGAGTATAGGACACGTAGGTGAGTGCGATGGTGTTATCAGCGAAAACGTGGGACGACGACGTCTATTCCCAGTTCGGGGAGCCGTGCGCAAAATTTTCAACAAAACTAAAGAGATCCTACAACTAGCATTTTTATGCGCTAAGTGATTCAGACCGTTCCGCAGTGACTCGGTTAGTGTCTTGTGCTCCACACGCTTTTTTAGTTTGTGGTGAACCTCTCGTTGTCTTTGTGTTCGGATCGCAACTCTCGGTAAGTACAAAAGTTCTCATTGTTCGTCTTAGCTAATTTTTCTGTGAGGATTTATTACGGATAATAATTGATCATTTTGAGATGGACAAAGTGTAATTGTTAGGCAGGTCCATTACCTACAATTCAAAAAATTCTCGTAAGAATATAAAGGGGTTTTTAAAACCAATACTTTACCAACAGTTTAGAACTGTTAGATAGCCTTGTTTCCGCACGGAAGTGAAAAATCTTTCGACAATTTAGCTCAAAATTCAAGGTTGATTGGGAAAACATTTCACCTGGTTTGAAATTTATCGTCACGAAAAATCTACAGACTGAAGATGCCAGGGCATTTGGCCAATTTACGTACGATGATCTAATTCCTTACATATGCAGGATATTTATTAAGATGCATTACGACATACCTCAAGTCACCGAATTCTTGCTCAAAGCCATTTATAGTGAAAAATTTGTGACCCGGAGGTAGCTCAAATGCATACACAATAAGTTGAAGGGACAGGCTACTTGACCAACTTGAGTCTACGGATTCTACTACATTTAGGATTTCATTATTTCCACATTTTAATAGAAAACTACTACCATTACTACAACTACTGGTAGAGAAATAATCCCGATTGGGAGAAGGGGATGCAGTCATCAAGGCGATACTGATGATGGAGGATACTATGTGTGCATGGCGTTCCATAAAAAGACCTGGAAGAGATTCGAAGTGAGAGGGAGTGGGTTAAAATTAGCCATGATGATCTGATCTCTCGGATTGCCTTCTCTCTCTTAACGTGCGCTGTGGGCTATGCATACGACTGCAGTTGCTAAATTCAGGATGAGTTGGTTTTCTACACACGGTGACTTGTTCCCTGGTCTCAACCAAGCAGGAAATAGACCGTTTGCCACTGAAACATTTGTTGCTGAATGCCAATCCGTGGTGGTGACACGAACCAGGTTTTTTTACGGGACAAACCGGGGAATTGTACTCACTCTCAGAGGCTCCCTGGAGACCACGAAAAATGGGAAAAAAAGGTTTAGCATAACACAATAAATTGGCAGGTTTTTATCGCATTCTTCTCGTTGAAATTTGGGAGAATCTTAAATTTGGAAAATGACTCCTTTTATAGACGGAATAGAAAAAAGAAGAGAAATTCACCTGGATTTAGCAACATTTTCCAAAAGCATTGTTCGTATCATGTATCGTAAGAAATTTAAGATTGCTATACATTTCAAGGAAAAATGTTACACTTTTGACACGAGGTGTGACTTTTGAGTAGGTTGGGCATTCATTCGAGTCATTCTGAATTTAAAACAACAATGACAACTTATTTTTAAAATGTTGGCTCAAGATCAGAAACACATAAAAACACTGTTATCCGTCCAGTCTGGACCACGTCACTTGTAAATGAGACATTATCACCAGTGCAACTTACACGTATAATATGACCTCAATGGTATTAAACTTTCTTCTCAAACTAGATACAAATAACCACAAAAACTGTGCAGGAACCGGAAAAGTTCAAGAACCACATTAATTCTTCACTGCTCTGAAAATGAGTGATCGGTCGGTCCGTCATACTGCTTTTAACCTGAAAAAGATTACACGGTCTGAAGGCAAAGAATTAATGCAATGCAGGTTTCTAGTTCATAATCTCTCTCCTAAACAAACTTGAATGAGAAGGTAATCTGGACGAGATTTTGAGATCCGATGTTGCACATATTTACATAGTTTCAGTTTTCACTGCACAAACGTGTGTGCATCCTTTCATTTCAAGCGTTAGTACAAAAATGTTATTGCAAATCTACGAAATCTGGCATTTTCCCACGACAGATGAAGCTCTGTCCTTATTTACATGAACAACGGGTCGACCCATATCACTCCTTGAGCCAAAATAACACAGCTTTATGATCCGTTTGTTGTGGAACAACACTTAAGAGTTCATGATTGGATAATGGAAAAAGTCACCCCACCCACGGTTTTATGATATCGACTTGTCAACAGCGGCTGTTCCTCGTGAAACGAGGCTCCCTTTGCAAACAAATTTCGAATATTCCGGCTGAGTATTAAACTGTCGATGATGCTCCAGTTTCATTTCAAGGTAGACTCCTGGGTAGACATCACGCGAGACGAGGATTTCACCTCTCGAGAAATTATCCTCCCCTCTTCTTAACAAAGTTGTTTGAGGAAGGAAACATCTCCCGCACCTGCATGAATCACGATGTTAATTTTAGCAACAAAATTTGGCAAGTGGCCCTGAGTTTCCTGATTTGGTAAAAGGGAACACGATATTAAATCTTTCACATCTTCCTCCTCCCCACACGACATAACTGTCCTGCACCAAAGTCGCTCATCGTCGTCCCATTGAATTTCCCTACATCAATGCAATACAAATAAAAGATTTCCTTCACGATATGCATATCTATCCATGTCAGTCTGCTACGAGTCTTTCCTGTCTGACAGAACATGCAAGCATGCAGTAATTCAGTCTGAAACCGATCCATTTTGTTATCGGTTCTCTACTTCTCTCTGTGTTTATTATGTCTCACTTCTTAATGTCCCATCATCGGATCGCTATCTTTTACATCCATCTCACCAGCAGTTGGAGTATTCCAACTTTTACTGACGCAACATAACTGACGTATCTTGTACACCTGAAAAATGATAAAGTGCATCTCATAAAATTCATAAATGTTTACACAAAACAAAGACAAAACATGACACGACTCGTTGCAGGAAATTGATATATGAATGTTTTTCACAGCTTTCGACATGCCACTCAAGCCTCCAGATAACGCAAAATGCCCCAAGTGCGGAAGGTCTGTATATGCTGCCGAGGAGCGTCTTGCCGGTGGTCACAAATGGCACAAGACATGCTTCAAATGTGGTAAATTTAAAGCTTTTGAGCTAATTTGTATCGATTAGGAGACGCAGCAACCACTTGATTAATAAAAATTGCATTTCAGGAATGTGCAACAAGATGTTGGATTCCACAAACTGTGCCGAGCACGAGGGAGAGTTGTTTTGCAAAGTGTGCCATGCCAGGCAGTTTGGACCTAAGGGGTGCGTACTCGATTGACCGAATTATATGCAACCTCAGATAAATGTAAGACTACGTGATACTTTACAGGTATGGATTCGGTGGTGGTGCCGGATGTCTGTCCATGGACACGGGTGAACAATCTCAGGAAGGAAGGTAGGAACTACATGATGCTTGTTATTTTTTCTGTCAATCTCTCCACCAAACACGATGAAACTGAGGTTTGAAAGCATTGCAGTAACATGACACCAAAGAGAAGGTGAACTTTTGTATTGGGAAATTGTATGTATAGCAAGTAGGGAAATCTGAGAAAGTCTCATTTTCCTCTGGTTGACTGGGTTAGATGAGATTTGAGACAGCTCCAGCCAGCATTTACTCAATTAAGTAAATTGAAAAGGAGAGATACACAGAATATTAAGAAGAGTAGACTGCAGGGGAATGGGGGATGATGATTAATACTGATTTGAGTGCGTCGTATTTGTTAATTGTAGCAGTGAATTGATTTACTTAATAGCTTTTCTCCCAGCTACATATGCACCTTTCTGATTCTGCTAACTTTTATACTTAGGATTAACGTCAGTCACCTACTTTCTGCTGCCACTGCTGCTATGCCATTCATTCCGTATATTTAGTTATTACCTTATCTTAGGAACAGTCAGCTACACATGCTACATTGAACACTAATTTCGCCTTGTGTCTAACATCGTGCTCACACACATAATACTAAATACTACGCATTATTTCCAACTACGTTTTCTTAAAAATTAATGTAAAACCTAAAATGCTGAGTTATCCATTGGAATTTATTTGTTGCCGTGCTTCAAGGATTATGTCCACAGTGCTTCCCTTTAATGGAATTGTAATTGTCTCTATTGTGTGATATGCGATAATGTTTAATTGCAAAAGTACAAGTCCTGCAATATGTTAGAAATTCGGGAGTTATAAGTTTCTGATCATTTGGATTTATAGGAACAATACACAGCACAACTTTTCACGATTTTTACGTATTATATTTTTTTGCATTGTGTAATCCCATGTCCAATTTTTCACCGCTTGTCCCTTGTTAAAAGTGGGACGACACGTCGTCACGTTTGCGAGGAATGTTACCGAGAAGAGTATAATTTATTTCTGTCAAGTTTTCGAAAGTCGGTGCGCTCAAATATTTTTTGTCAGTTAATCATCGTTCCAACTGAATGTTGAAGTCAGTATTTTTAATTATTTAAAGACCTCAAACGAGGTTCGGATGGGGTGCAATTAACTTTTGTCACTCGTTTCATTAGGCAACAAACAAAGATACTACAGTGACATAGTGTCGGTCGGGTAGGTTTAGTTTTTCCGATGGCACTTGCATCTTCATAACATAGTGTTAGTCAACGTTGTAAAAAAAAATTTTCTACGTGAACTGCACGTTCTTTCTACACATTCTGTCCTATTTTCCTGTTCCCTCCAATCTTCTATTTTTACATTCTTTATCATCTTTATCATCTTTGTGTGTAATTAAAATTAATAGGTTTTGGCAGTACTGGTAATAAAATATTCCAAATTTTTCGTATATAATCAAAACTTTTACTTCTGCAGAGATCAATCAGAATGATTAGCATAGTTTTTATGAGGCAAAATGGATAGATTTTTCGCTACAATTATAGACGTTTGGATAAAATTAAGTTGCTCTATATGCAAAAAATGTCAATGGAAGTATTACTCATTAAGCAGGCTTTAAATATACCGTATACTATTTTTGCGACAATGTAGGTGCGCAAAAAGATGGAATTTCGCACTGCACTATTCGGTGAGACATTGTTTCACGTTTTATCTCAGTATTTTCCATAATTTTGTGTACAAGAAAATGAGTGAGTGACATTTTGCGTAATGTTATTTCTTTCATAATATGTAGTCTGGTCTCAGGTTTTATGTATGCATGGTCTAGCAAAGAAAATTGAATCAACCATCCTAGAAAAGCTATACGTATTTAATAATTATAAATATTTTGTAAGGTTTTACTGTGCACGTGGTTAAAATGGACAAAAATAAACTACTTTTCATGTGAATCCTATTTTTGCATGAATTCAATACTATTTGTTCAGACGCTTAAAACGCTGAGCTGAAAATTGAAATTACGTACTAAATTAAATTGACAAGTGTTGTTATCAAATTGAGTCAGGATAATCGTAGTTTTTAATTATTAACTTTTTCTCAAACTTACCCATTAAGACAATTATCTATGTATTTTATTTAAGCCGTTGTCGTAATAATTGCAAGACTTAAGTTTTTGTTTTAAGATTTTTTCAGCCAAGGTGTTTGGTTTACTGCTAATGATTATACTGTTAACTCACCCATTAATGAAATTTAGACGGTGTATGTATTTCGATGACCAATATTTTAAATACTTCATTGGATGCGGATGGAATGTGGCAATTAAGAGATCTTGACAAAAAATATCTTAATCTCCTTTAGTGTTGCAAATAATTTTCCAGGATACGTTTTGGTGCTCAGCATTTTGGGTTTTTATTCACTTTTACATATCTTGATGTTTCTAGTTCTAAAAGATGAATGTGCTAGTAAATATTGGTCAACATGATTGCGTTCAATTCAATTACTCGAATAAGCTTCTTTACTCTAACCTAAAAAAAACTTTCTCATTGATGTTTATTATACTGAAAAACGTACTGGTCCTCCTATTACCTGCGTACCTAAAAAGTGTACGCAGTTCAAGCAGATTTCCACATTATCTCCACAACTTTGACCTCATCAGATCGATTTTCAGTCACCATTTAGAAAAATTAATAGATGAGTTCGTAACTCCGTTTTCATAGTATGCATGTACACACATTAGATTTGTAATTCACATGAACCCTGAATCAACACTTGTCCTCCTTCCGTCCATCATGAAAATCAGTATTCATTGTTATGGGTTAACAGTGGTATAGTGATGATTAATAATGACTGTATACAGATTTATGAGAGAATTTATCCCGCATGTACTACAATTTCATTTGCAGCAGAATAGAAATCCCAGAATAAATCATCCATTACAAGATTCATTCATGTTTCTGCTTTTTGATCTACTTTCATGAAATCAACCCTCTTTGTGTAAAAAGTGCTGATCGCTTTCAAGAGTATGAATGAGTGTATGAATGTCTAGACCTTAAATTATCTGCCAACATACTAAAATTAGCGTGAAAATTGACTCTCTTGTAATATTGACAGTGTTAGTGCTGCAAACTCATGGCAGGCTCCAAACACCTCCTGCATCCAGGCTAAGGAGGGCGAAGGGTAAGTGACTGAAGACGAAGCGACTAAAAAACACTAATTTTTAATGATTTTTTTAGTTGTCCTCGGTGTGGAGGAGCGGTTTATGAAGCGGAGAAAATGCTGGCGAAAGGACGAGTAAGTTAATGAAATTTTTTATGTGGTCGAACTTCTTAACGTTTTTTTTCAAAATTATTTTAGGTTTTCCATAAGACTTGCTTCAAGTGTCGGGCATGCAGCAAATTTTTAGACTCCACCTCGCATTGTGACGGCCCAGATCGCGACATTTATTGCAAGGGTGAGCAAAATGACATGATTTTCAGAGAGATTTTTCATTCATAATTGGTCAGAATAGAAATATTTAATTGTTCGTGCAATTCTGTTAATTTCCAATCTATAGTGTTTGTCAATATTATGTATTTTTACCAATTTTTTCAAATAGTCTTAACTATTTTGTACTGAAATTGTGTAGTATGTTACGGCAAGCGTTTCGGACCTTGTGGCTATGGGTTTGGGTTGGGAGCGGGTATTTTGCAGAGCGACGAGTCACTCCAAAACGGGTACTTTGAAAATTCTGTTCACAATTCTAAACTTTTGCTTCGCTTCTTACAGTGTGCTATGGCAAGCATTTCGGTCCGAAGGGGTATTTTGGTGCAACACTAACCACAGATGATGGAGAGTAAGATAACACAATTGACCCTCTCAATCCACTCAAACAATCCTGATACACTAGTCATCTTGATCTGATTTATATGTCAGTAGACGTTTCAATCGTAAAAATATTTAGCAAACTCAATTTTCTGAAGGCTTTCTGCTCAGGAATTTTTAACGTAGGACAAGTTCCACAAAATTTCAATAAAATATTACTGTTTTTTTTAGTTACATACAACTTTTACAGATTTTCACTGTACACGGATAGCTTATTAATATGAAAATATGTAGTTGAACTTTAGGCAGGATTTGTTTTTGCAAATCGTGAAATGAGGGATGACAAACCGCTGTGGTTACTGGTATGCAAAATCATCTAGCAAAACTAATGGGCAGCCGAACTTTGTATGAATTATGCTGCTGACCTGGGCTACTAATTCAACATTAAGCAACTCGTAGAAAAGAGCTAACTTTTTTTAATAATTCACAAAATATAACGCAAAGTAAAAAATATCACTTACCTACGATTTTAAAAGTCGCTTCAATTAAGACAATGCCAATGTAGCTTAACAAAAATATAAGATTGCAATCGCAATTTTGAAAACACACTCACCTAATTTTTACCCACTTTACAAGTTGAATTTTAAATTAATGATCTTTGATGGTCTCAATTTTAGTGACCAGTATTTGTCCAATAAGCCGAATCTCATATCGTCTACAACTACCATCATGGTAAGCAAGCAAAATATACATTTTTGCTGGCATGAAATGCGAAAATTCGGCAATGTATATGTATGCTAAATGTGTTTTTTTTTACTGAAATAGGCTGAAGAAGGCGAGGGGTAAGTGTCTCATTTTTATGAATGAATGCGACTAAATAAACACTGCGTGGATGAAAAAATAATAATCCTTCATGAATTGTTTAGTTGTCCTAGATGTGGAGGAGCTGTGTTTGAAGCTGAGAAAGTTCTAGCAAAGGGTCGAGTACGTAATTTTAATTTTATGCTTAAAATTAATGAGCTTGTTCATGACTAACTTCCACTTTAATTCAGTTGTGGCACAGAAAATGCTTCAAATGCTGGTAAGAATCTTTATTTGTAAAACTAAATGAATGCTCATTAAACTTGAAACTTAATTTAATTCAAAAACAATAATGTCCTTGCAGCGAGTGTAATAAAACGCTAGACTCGATCAATGCCTGTAACGGCCACGATAAGGAAATCTATTGGTGAGTTGACGGTTTTATTACATGAAGAGAAAAAGGGGAGAGTTAAGACAATTGTTTAACTTATTTTTTAACAGGTAAGTAAGTAATTAAGTGAATGAAGGCCTAATTTTCTTTTAAAATTTTCTTAGTAAAACCTGTTACGGAAAGAAATATGGACCAAAGGGGTGAGAAATATAAATTTTTGCTTTTTACCACAAAATTGTTATTCCATAGATTATAATACAATTCTCATTTTGCAATCAGTTATGGATTCGCATGCGGTTCAGGCTTTCTACAAACTGACGTTATGCCGTAAGTTGGCCACGCTTTAAATAAAAAAAATTATTTTGAGGACAAATAATATTTTGTCTGTAAATGCGTAGGAACGAAGAAAACGACACACAGAGACCAAGGTTAGTATTAATAATTATCTAAACTTCTCACCTAATCTTATTTGGAGGGGACATGGCTTCATTTCTCTTTTTCTACCAAGCTATGCTGCGTCAAGGGACTACTCAAAAATCAAGCCGACGAATCCAGGAGATGGGTAAGCATTTTATTTTGATTAATAAATAAGGCTAAATAAACGCCGTGTGGATGAAAAAAACAATAATCTTAAATTAATTAATTAGCTGTCCACGTTGTGGTGGTGCCGTCTACGAGGCGGAGAAAATGCTGGCAAAGGGCTCGGTATGGCATAAAACTTGCTTTTCATGCGCGTCCTGCCGAAGGCCCCTGGATTCGATTTTGTCTTGCGATGGTCCAGACCGAGAAATTTACTGCAAAGCTTGCTACGGCAAAAATTTCGGACCTAAAGGGTAACCCAAATCAGTAAATGAATATAGTTTTGCGGGATCAATTTTAATGATTTGTGTGCATCCAGTTATGGGTACGGCTACTCTCCCACCTTGATCTCCGTTACTGGAGAATCCACTGCCCCGTTGTCACAGTACGTATTTTACGATCTAGGGTTATCATCAGTGAATAAAAAATACTAATTTTCGCAAATTTGTAGGAACATTGAGGGAGAAAAGGCACCCGAAGGTGAAGGCTGTGGTAGGTGTGGCATGAAAGTATTTGAGGCTGAGAAGATGCTCGCGAAAGGGAGGGTACGTAGTTCATGAGTATTTAAATTGTTATTTTAACGAATTTCATCCATGTTTAATATAATTTTTCATTTTCATAGGTGTGGCATCGTAGGTGCTTTTACTGCAGGTAAGTAATTGGAAAATTTTGCATATATGCGTAAATCGCAAAATTAATAATCACATGTGTTTCACCATTTCAGCGATTGTCGACGCAGTTTGGATAGGTGAGTTTCTTTTGAAAAATATTTAGTTACACAAAGTTAAAATGAATAAGTTGCACCATTTTCATTTAATTTCATTCATTTTCAGTACCAATACTAATGACGGGCCTGACGGAGATATTTACTGCAAAGGTTGCTATGCAAGACGCTTCGGACCTAAAGGAGTTGGTGAGTCTACTTTGTTCATTCACAATTTATTCAAATTTGTGTGCTAAATTCTAATTCGTGGTTGATTCTTCCAGGGTACGGAATAGGTGCAGGAGCTCTGCAAATGATTCAATAATCACTGCCAGGAATTAATCCTTCATTAAATACCGACAAAGCCATCATCATCATCATTAACCCGAATTGAAACCAAATGATTAAACTGCTGAGTTGAAATTATCAGTAATTGGTCAGCATGTTGCTCTAATTCTAATTCTAATCTATGCAGGTAGCTATTTTGGCAATTATCATGATAAGCTTATTACTACGGCTGATAAGCTGAGGTCCTACTACATACGTTGTATTGTGCATTTTATTATTTTGAACTGATTGATGTATTTATCAAACTTGTCTGAGACCAAATTGAGCGTTAAGACATTTTTATGTTATTTTATGTTTTTTTTCTTTCTTGATATGAAGAAGAAGCAGGTTATTTCGGATTATGGTTATGTGTATGCATGTATTTCATAACGTTGTTGTACTCTCTCCTAGTCAGTCGGTGCATGCTTAAATGTGGACATGGATGCGGTCAACTCTTCTTTCGCTTGATATAATTGTGTATATCACCAACATTAGTATGTAAAATTACAGATATTTTCGTCTTACAAAAATTTCTAGACTTCTGCTTGCTCTGCTGATGAACTGAATGTGTTTGAGGTGTTTTTTCCTCAAAAATCTACTTGAATGATGACTGAAAACATTTCTCTTCTCCTTGTTGTTGGGACGTGTTTATCCGACGTGTAATCACACGACACATCCAATAACAGCGTTACTAGGTCCGCTAATGTATGTATGGATAAAGTATAATTTACTGTATGCCAATAAGTTGATATTTTCTTTCCGTTTTCATCTTACTGCTATTATTACTTGTGTACGTAGAGCGTAATTATTCTGCTAATTATTAATCTACGGTTTCGTTTTAATGCATCATCATCATCATGTGTTGTCGTCACCCGAGGGAGGAGTCCATTAATGTATGTTTGATGAAAAAAGCGAGATTGTAGTCCAGCTATGTATTCCGTTGCTTTAGAATATTATTTACTGAGATGTTTTTTGGCTGCGTTTGAATAATTACAATAGAAAATGCCTAAAATATAGCTGCAGCCGTAAATGCCACCACTATCAGTATCACTTACACAAATAAGCGTAATTTTTCATTACTGCTATTAAGTCTCAATGAATGTACGACAAAACAAACCAAATCTTGCTAATAAAATAAATTATCCACTATATTTACGATGGTATGATATTATTGTTCTTAAAAAATAATATCGTATTTTTATTTGGCATATATGTTCGGTTAACTTACAAGGGTGTAAGTTGTACAAAAGGTGTAGTCATTTGAAAAAGTAGAAAATTATATTGAATGATTGGTTAAGCTAAGTACTTGTCAAATTAAATTTCGTAATCACTCGGGTTGAATAATACTTAGTTAATACCCAATTAAATGCATGTCGTTATTAAATATTATTATAACTTATTTTGTAAAATATTCGGTTCATTTCTTGAGCTTTCTTCCTTTCTTGGGAGGAGGTGACGAAGACCTTGTGGCAGAAGTCTCTTTCTTTCGCTTCGCTGGAGCCCTCTTAGTCACGTTGTTAGATTTGAATGAACTTGATTGTGATTGATTAGCACGAGATTCGGAGGAACTATAAGCACCCAAATTATACTTTTTATCTAATCGTATCTTAATAATAACTAATCTAAATAGCCTTCGCCAGTTTCCTACGACTCTAGCTCTGCGCTTTTCCTCTGCTTTCCTAACTTGTTCATCTTGGTCCTATAATTATTTTAGGAATCAATGTCAAATTTTCTGTATTACGATTGCGAATCATAATTTATTTGTATTCCAACCTGGTTCCAAGCATCAAGAAGAATCTCTTTGAACTCTTCACAAACCACAAACCCATCAAATACTGGGCGAGAGATACCACTGAATTCAAATCCCGTCAGGGCTGGTGCACAGTCGATATCCAACTTTTTAGCGACCTTGTCGAGTCCTGGTACTATTCACATAAGGTATAAAAGTAAGTATAGGCATGCTAACTGTAAATCTGCTATTATATATTATATTTTTTTAAACTTACAAACTAGATGGACTGCTCCTTTTGGCACCATTTCCGGTTTGTACAGTTCTACGTTCCCATATGCACTTCGTGGAACTTTTCCATCCTTTGCTACTGGAGGCATGTAGTCAGTAACTTGCCAATATCCAAAAAGTTCCAAGTCTTGATCTCTAGGTACAGACGCCCATGACCCAGTACTCTATTCATTCCAGTTATATTTCAATTATTGAAATAATTATGGATTTCTGCACAATTTACGGTACATATGTAACTACGATTTACCTGTTTTACCATTTTCGGCCTACCTTTGACCAACTTGTAAGGGGCTTCACCTAGTTTCACAACTTTGGCTTCCTTTAGCCAGGCTTCTCTCGAGTGTAATGTAGTTACAACTGAACGTTGATAAAACGGGATGCATTTGATGACTCCAACAGGATGAGGATTAGGAGGATAAATGACCTCAAACTTCTTTAGATGCTTTTCTGCCACATACAATGGGTGGTTGATTAACCTGCAAACAAGTTATTTTAAAAATTTTGTATCAGTTAATCCATTTAAATTTATTGAACAATTATGAACTCACTCTGACACATTTTCAGGATATGATCTTTTTGCTACTAGCTTGTCCAGCAAATCATCCTCCAACGTATCTCGTGCGGTGGCAAAGGTTCGGTACGGTTCAAGGGTCTCATCAAACCAGTCACTGTCAGCTCTGCTCTTCACAACCATTTGAAGCCATTTACTGACATAACGTCTGGTGACGTCTTTCACTTTACCATCGTTATCTATTCCGAGTACATACAGCATTGGTTTTGATGCTTTTGCCTTAAAAAATAAAATTATTTGAGTTATTGATTAAGATTACTATTCAATATTCAATAACGAGTACAGATCAAACTTACCTCAAATGGAGCATCCTGACTAGCTTGATACTTCTCAAGATCTATAGGTACCCATCGCTGGCGCCTTGGAATATACACCTCTACCCAATCGTCAACTGGAAGGAAATTTGTAATTTTCTTACTCTGAGAATTCTTCTTTGGATTAAGGAGCGACTCGAAATCTCTGTCCTCTTGGTCACTAGAGCTCCGTCGTGTCTTCCGAGCTTTACTCTTGGAAGAAGTACTCGGTCCCGGTTCTACATCTTTTGATTTCACATTGTTCTTCTTCTTTGCAGCTACTCCCTTTCCTATCTTCTTCTTCTTGGTCTTAGCTTCTGACTCACTGTCGTAGTCAGGATCGTCATCGTTGGCATCTGTCTTCGCAGGAGTGATCCCTGTGTCGCCTTCATCTTCTTTTGGCTGCACTGGTTTCTTCAACAACTCGTCAGAGGAAGGCCGAAGTGGAAGAGGTTGCATTGAGTGAATCAACCTGACTTCGAATCCCGCTGCTCTCAGAAGAAGGACGGCGAGTAGCACACGATGAAAGGGCTTCAGGTATCGTAGACACTCCTCTTCGTTAAAATACTGTTTCAAAACTTGTTCAATGCCGTCCAGAGTATCAACATCGTCAAAATTTGTTTCTGCTAGCATATCATGATTTGGCTCAACGGCGGTAGAATACCAGGGACGAAACTTTCTCCGCACCATTCCCAACACTCGTACAAGATATGCGTCGTCTCTATCTAAATTTGATGATGGTATGTTAAATAAATTGCACCCAACCTGCGACATGGCCATTGCTCTCAATTCGTCAGAACAAAGCAGGTCGTTGAGCAAAACGAGTCTTGCCAGGTGGCACAAAACGCTCACTTTGTGCAACGAAACTTGACGATCTTTAACTTCCCGATTTAACTGAAGCCTGAATAACTCTCTAGGGTCGTACTTGTTCACTACATGAAGAAATAGAATAAAACCAAAAGTTAGACAGGACACAGTAACACAACGCTAAACTATACCTTTCTTCAGGGGCCCTCCAACCTGAGGGATTGTAATGACTAATCCACTTTCTGGAATTCTCTCGCTAATTTGCTGCTGATGATCCTCCTGTGACGGCAAATCGGGAACCTCCTCCCACTCGTCATCAGACGACGACTCATTGTTCTTATCTATCTTGACACTCCGGCGTTGCCGACTCATCCTTCCTCTCAATAATTGACACACCAAATCCAATCGACAATCTCTTCTGCAAACCAAGTACAAAACAAATAGATGCAGACTTAATTTAACTTCAATTAGTTAACCCGAATTCACCTACCTTCCTTATTTCGAGACACACTTGACCTCCAATTTACTACGGCGACACCAAAACTCAGTAGATTACAAAGATGTTCCAAAGTTTGATAAGTCCTTATCACAAAACATTTAACTTCACGTTTAATTCTCACACTAAATAATAATTGTACTTTTGACAAACGAATTTTAGACGACTTATAAGCGTGTGAAACTGTCGGCGGCTGAAAAAACTCGATGACAGTAGAACTCAACTCGGTGCAGTTACTCCGTGCGACTCGGGTTTTCAACTGTCTCTCCTCCAGATTCGTTTTCCTTTTCAGCAGTGAGGAGCGATGTGAGGTTTAAGATTTCCATAAATTCTTTCCTCTCACTCTTTCTTAGATAACATTCTAATCAGGCTTCTGATAAGCTCTGATAATGCAAATCAATCATTCCACTCCATTCGAAATGTATGTATGTCAGTATTTAAATTACCTGAATATTCAGTCGAACTAATTTACGTAATTGGTGGACCTTGCCCAGTCCTGAGACGATAGGAAGATGATGATGCCGATGAAGGGGCGACGTGTCTCATTAGACGAATATAATTAGTAAGGTATATTCCCAGCAGAATAATCCTCGTTTAGTAAAGCAGCGACCAAAATGAGACGACTACGCGTGGGCAATGGGAGAAAGTGGAGAAAGTTGCTGGGTCGGTGGATGGAAGTCAGCACGTTTCTGCTCCTCAGTTCCAATCCGACCTCACTCGAGAAAGCGGCCCAAATCTGTCTCCTTCCTCTCTCAAAACTCCTCGGAAAGCAACAGTTCTCGTCCCACAAATTGGTCCCGGTTCGTCACAGATCCGCTACAAAATCGCCCCCGATCTATTCCAGCGTTTGAAGGAAGTTCGATCCACGGAAAATCTGGGTAAATACAATTTCAACTTCAATTTTAAGTGTATGGCTGGATAGGTTGTTTATTGACTTGGCAGAGCTGCTGGAATATGTAACAGGCAGGCAGGCAGGAGTGAGTGTGTTTGTCAACACTATCACATTTTTGGTCGTGGGACGAAATTGAAATTAAATTGAGACAAGGGACGTGATGGCGTGAGAATGAGATCCTATTACACATACGTAACCGGCTGTTATATAAGGAAACGGGTGGTTCATAATGTTTCATAGAAAGAGAGATGGAAAATATTGTTTTGTGTTGTTAGATCATGACGGCGTTAGTTGTTACAACATGTACATACGTATATGGCATTGTGAGAAGCTGTGTGATGCCCAGGTAGGAACATTCGGTTAAGTTAGGCTGGTAGAGAGTTGAAGAAGTGGGAAGAACTTCATTAAGATCTGTCAATGGAGGATATTGCGTGTGTGAGTTTTCATAAAGCAGTTGAGGCTGGCTCGCTTGAGGCACATATATCAGTGTCACTTAGTCCGGAGAAAATGGAATTGAGAAGCAGAAGGTTATCTTGGCTATATTGGAAACAAATTGAAGTCGACACCACGAGACGACCATCAGGTTCAAGTAGAGATCTTTCTCTCCCTACTCTCTCCAGTAGCAGGAAGAAGGAATTCTCTCTCAAACACCCGCACCTCATATTATTTCATCTCTCTCTCGCACATTCACTCACTTGTCCCAATCACAATTCACTCCGCCAATTCGGCACACACCACGCGATGAATTAGATTAAATGAGCATTCCACTTTCTTAATTGAATTTTTACCCAGTGTTCGTTCACCACCACTCCACGTAGAGTGCAGTGTACATATTACTTACTCCTGTCCCTGCATGAGACACATTTCCGTGTGGCTGCCTAGTTTCCCCCACATCTAGATCTCGGCTCCTTTTAGTCGTCATCGTAGTAGTAGTCAGTCATCATGTAGTACAACGACGCGTGTCTCGGATCACATCACAACATTTATGTAATATCACAAGGGATTCCTTCACTCAACCCAATCTCAGCCAGTGGTTCCGTCCCTTCCTGTTTGTTTATTATTACTATTTGAGGAGGAAAGCTGTTGTGTTGGGACCAGTTGGTTCGTAGGAGTGGGAGGATATTTGGCAGTGGATTGAAACATAATTTGGAATGCGGTGCAGAACGCAACTATGTAACGAGAGAGAGAGAACAAGGTATAAGAAAGAGTAGAAAAAAAATCAAGTAAAAATCAAGTAAGAGCTGCAAACTCATATTGTTGTGTAAGAGTCATTCCGTTGACAAGGATCACCATACAAGCACTTTGTGGTCGTGTAGTTTGAAAGATTTGGAGAGGAAGAGAAGCAATCCGAGAGGGCGGCGAGGAGAGGATGAAGAAGAAGAAAGAGGATGTAATGTAGAATGGTGGTGGGTTTGGTGTCCTGGGTCTCACCAGTAATTGAAAAATGGAGTCAGTCCACAACACAAGTGACGTGGTGCAAGTTTCCGGTCAATTTCATTAAAGAAATGTTTGCTTTCCTTGATTGAAAGTGGAGAAGGCAAAACAAAGGAGAAATATTAAGGAAAGTGGTGAAAGCACCTCCAACCAAAAGGGTCATGATGACTCATAGGGCAGTCAAGTCGAGACGACTAGTCGCAGGCAGCAGGGCTGGATATAGAAAAGCGTCGCGTTTGAGTCCTGCAGGGAGAGAGAAAGAGAAAGCATGCAGTAGTAGGAACGAACTTTCATTACGAACATAGTGATTTAATGTGTCACCAAGAACAGAGAGTGCAACAGCTGTTTTATATACGAAAATGGCCAATTTCCTCTTCCATAGGGCTCTTTTACGTGATTTCTGACGTTCACCCAGAAAACCCTTTCTTCCTTTCGGCTGGTGCTTCTTCTCTGACTGAGCTGGACGCCGCAGTGTGGTCTACACTCTGTTTCTCCTCTCTCTCTTTCTCCAAGAAATATTCTATAGATGTTATTTTTTGGATTTCTCCACTTTTGATCCCAAAAACTAACTAAGGTTTCTCAGGCAGGGACGACGACAGGGAAGAGAGAGGACAGGAGAGAGAGAGAGAGACCAGCTCAACAGAACCATCATGATGGTTGGTTGGTAGAATTGACACATGGTGTTCTTCTCTGCCCTACATGAAACATTCCTATAATTTTGTCGACAGCACGAGGGACTGCAGTCTTGTGCTGTCCATGATTGTGACAGGCGAAATTGATACAAATATCTTCCAATATATATTACACCATTATTATTGTACTCGGCAGCAGCGTCCAGTAGTTTGCCCACGATATGTACGTTTGCCACACTTTTCTCTCTCGTGGACACGGGATGACGTAGCTGCGATGTGTGTGTAGCAGTAGTAGTCAAACAAGAGGGAGGACATTCTTTCAAATGAAATGTATTTTTTTATTAACGTCGGCCAACTCGTTTCTTTTGCCCTCCTCAATTCGTCGAACCTTATTAGCTGCCCCTCACTTTCTCCCTCTGGTTTCCCTTTGTGTTCCTGTTTCGTCCCTGTTGTCATTTCCTCCTCCGTCATGTTTCACGTATGAAGATCAATTTCTTTCTGGCTCCTAGTGCTTTCTCCTCTTACTTATTAAACCTCTCGAGCATGGGGATAATAATTGGATACGAGCATTGAATTAGATTTTTTTAAGGTTACAAATGCACAAAGTTGTGTACATATACGACATTCTAAACAATTTCTGTCGTCGGTAACAATTTTATTCAAATGTTACATATGCAACCAAGCAATCCCCAAACCAAACAAGTCAAAAAGAAAGCGAGAGAGAGAGAGGGAGGAATTTTAACCACATTTACCGCTTGATTTGCGTCTGATAGTAAAATGAAAAATGTGACGAGCTGTGAAATGGACTGACTGCCTGCACTCTCTGGTAATACGATTCTCCGAAAATGTGTGATTGATTAAGAAAACAAATAGAGTAAAATATTGAGACTTGGGCATCCATGGGCATCAATGATGGGAATAATAATAGGAAAAAAGAGGAAGATCCCCAATAGTGACACTTTTGGGTGCTGCTGTGTGGTGGGTGAGATGACAAGGGGGCATGAGAAGTCTTCTCGTACTTATAAATATCGACGACGACGAAGAAGAAGAAGAGCTGGTTGCTGCTGCTGCTGCTGCTGCTTCTGTGATCCGACACAGAGGAGCAGAATGGAAGGGTCTGTTTTGGCGTGTCTCACACTGAAATCAATTTGTGTTCATGCCTGATTGCCCTCAATAATTGAATGCCGCTGCCGACACTGTGCTACTGATTCTGATTCTCTCTTTGGCTCTTCTTCGCCGTCTTCGTCTACTCCTCTCTCCTTACGGTATAGATGAAATATCGATAGCGAAATGCGCTCCCCAAGCATGCAATAAGTAACGTCATACCACCACCACCACCACCACTAGTCATACCAATTTCAATCTCCTCTCTCTCCTCCGACATACATACTTTCTCCGGCGAAGGAAAGGAGGAGGAGGACGAGCAGTATAGTTCGCATCTCATATTCCTATTACACACCAATAGCAATCACAAAAGCTTAAGCTGTGATTTCTAAATTGAACCAGTTTCTTTGCACACCACAAACACACTCTCTCATTCTCATCATGATGATTTTGTGATGCTGATGTGTGTAGTGTAGCAGTTTTGAACTTTATTACTTAACGGGCACCCAGTTAGATTTGTATTTGTCCCGCTTGAAGAAGAAAGCCCGGATTTTGTGGGTTACTGGGAGGCATGGGTGGAGAAAAGTAGGTGAAAGCGGAGGAGGAGGAAAGGATAAGAAAAAGTGTGTTGGTTGAATGTAGAGATGTGCATATGTTCTCAATTTTGTGCAATATTTTTGATGATGACAATTTCTAAAATGTGAAAAACAAGTTCTCGGGTTACATATGAATTGAGGAGAGGTAAGTTAATTATTTTTTGTGAGAGGTGTTGGGTTACCTTGTATACATATGTATTTACATATATTTTATATGTGTATGTGTGTATGCATATAAATACGTAGTGGGAGAATTTATATCTCATTTCCGAGCAGCATAGCATCTCCGCCGCCGCCGCCATCACCACCACCTTTTTCACCAGCGTTTTATAATTGGCTTTAGTCTCATTGGCGAGGTGAAAGTCTAGGAAATTAAATCTCCATTATGAATGAACTCAGAAATTCGTGTATAATTAAACCGAGTCTTCCTCAACGAGAGAAGAGTGTGCTGTCTCAGGAAGGAAATGCGTTTATTTCCAGTAATAACACATAACTCCACAACTTGAGTCGTCCATCCCATCCCACTCGGCCCAACAAAACCACTTTCTCCTCCATCCATGGCGTCTCCTCGTCGTCTATTTAGTGAAAGAGTGAGAGAAGTTAGACTCAGAATTACAGACAATAAATGTTGAGTCTGCAGCAGAGGAGAGATCCAAGTTTTAATTCTTTCGTGAGAAGAGGCAATCAATCGTACACAGCTCAGAGTTTGTTGCTTCCGTTATTTTCGAGACTCCAGAGAGAGTGAGAGAGAGAATGGACTTGTGTATTTGTTCATTCCAATTTGCTCAACTGGCCCCCAGTTCTCTCATGAAGAAGGAGCAGATAGCGAGTTATGGCAAGCCAACGGCCCAGCTAATAGAGCAGAGCAGCACCTGCAAAGCCTTTTATTTCGGTACAATAACACAATATATGGACAATATAGATACAAGTTGTTCGGGGGAAAGCAACTTGGGCTGTGAGTTGTTGTGGGTGAGAGAGAAGTTGGCGGTGGAGAGATGCCGAGTAAAAGTGGACCAGGATTAGCAGGAGTAACAGAGCTGACCCGACGAGCCTGTTAAAAGTGATCAAAGTTTTGAAAGACGTTAGTTAGCTCCTCGGCGTCCGTGGAGAATTAAATGAGCGAACCAACATTGTAAATCAGGCTGCGTATGGAAAAGGCTCACTCGCTAATCTACGAGTTGTACTTTGCACATCTAAATCTAAACTGTGTGCAAGATTTATTTGACCCATCTCCTCTTTTTGGTTGGAAGTTAGTTGGGAGCGAGTGATGCATATCTGCTCACTTATCCCTAAGTTAATTTCACACTAAGTTGATCATGAGATTGGGTCTTTCCGTCCTAAATAACTTGATTCCCTTTACTGTCAACCCCGTTTACATCTGCAGACAATGGCTCCATTGCACATTTTCACAGCAAATTATGCATCCTCTCAACCCAGATCATTCCCACTTTACAATATAGAAATAGGTGTATCTGCCCAAATATCCTTGCTGCCTACAGATGTACATACACCTTACAGACCTTACTGTGAAGAGTTAAAGGATGTCACATAGGACGATTAACTTTACATTTGACAGAAGGGCATGGTGATCACATCTCCCAGCACCACCGCCACCACTCTACCTGCAGGCCTGTCATCGTCATCCGTCCTCTGCCTGTGGTTGGATATACATAGACCAGCCATGTTGCTGTGTGTGTGTGAACAAGCGACATCACTTTGTTGTTTCCTGATTGCTTCACTTTTACTCCAACTATGCACTTCCTCACCACCCAAACATAAGTATAATCCGAGTATTTGCTAGGAACGGTTTTAATATAAGTGATGTGATGATGTCAATCTCTGGGGGCATTCCAATCTCCAGACCACTCTTAATCTTCCTCCTCTTTTGCTGATGATGAAGAGCCACACGTAGGTACACACATAGTGGAGGCCCACAAGAGTGGGTAGAAAGCAGTGAGGAAAAGTTTGATGGAAAATATATCCCAACAAACCACTCTCATCAACTTCTCAGATAACAAGTGAGCATTTCCTGTCAGACGGTAGAAGACGCAAGGCGTAGTGGAAAGAAGGACGAGTTGAAACTAATTTTTCTGGTCACGTCCGGCATAAGCTAGATGTGTTAGTTGAAGAAGAATTACAAGTGGGGAGAGAAAAAGGGATTGGAGAGTCGGTAAATTGATCAAAATTAGCTGCATTTCCTTGATTACTTTGATAATTGAAGATTTATTGAGACATCCATTAAAACTTGGATCTTTTGTCTCTGACCCATTTCACGTCATCAATTTGCTCATTCCTTGTCTCCCACGCTCTTTCTCTCTCCGTCTCAATAAGTAGTTCTCTCTCTCTGTGTGCCTGTGTCTGTGTGGAGCTGGAGAACATAAATTTTCATCTCAGATCTCCCAAGACACGTTACATCAATTGCTGGACAAAAGACCAATCACAAAACTATCAGAGAAACAGCTTGATTGCCTTTTTCACTACTTTTCTGAAAGTCTGCGCACTTTGGGTGAAATCTTGATTGCAATTGTATCCTGAAGGTTTACGACAAGGTGGAGGAGAAAACACGGGAAAAAGTATGAAAAGATCTTTTCGAGATGCTTGCAAATTTCACCTTGCAACTTTCTGTGTCACTACGTGCTAACATTTCGTTGTTGAATTGAATGCCCTCATCTCCACTTCATCACCACCACCACCATGCATTCTCTGCGTGAATGTATATACTATAGAAGAGAAAGTATAAAATCAGCATCAAATTATTAGGATGAATGAAAGTTGAAATTACTCTGACTCTGATGAAATGTGTACTTTAATTTGCTCTCCCCAGTAAAGGTTTTTGGGGTGATAGTGGTGGTGGTCTGGTCAGAAGACGAAGAGTGCATAAAAAGGAGAGGCGGCGGAGGTGGTCGGCGGACTCATCAGTGCTGGTTATAGAAGGAGAGATGCACAACACGGCGACGACGGCGACGGGAGAGGTGAAAGGAGACGACGTGGCCGCCGTGGCTGGTATGGCATTCATTTCATTTTCATTGAATCTTGAATCATCATCATACTGTTCAGTCAGACCAGCTTGATAATCTACTCTCATAATCTAATAAACTCATGAGAGCGTGAAATGGCATTTCGTTGATTATCTTCGCCAGCGCCAAATGTCAACGCAATCTCATTAGGTATATTATCATTGAAAGACTCTCTCCAATCCTCATCTCCTCATCCTTTTCCTCCACCCGCTCCTCGCACCCTTTGTTCACATAATCATCCCACTTCTCTGCTCTTTCATTACCAAGCCCCGCACACAAGCCTCTTCTCATTCTCATCCCATTCTCCGCCAAGCATCATCACACACCCATTCACCACCATTATAAACTTTTACCTTTCTCTCCCCGCCAAAGTGTACACAGGATTTTAGACTTTCTCCGGGAACAATTCCTATGCTAAATTAAATGCCAGCTCCTCGCAATGAGCCTCATTTAAGTCCCTTGATCAAACAATATGCGGTTTAAATGACCACCACCACCCACGACATGACTTTGCAACTCGCAGCTTTCTCTCTCACTTATTCATGTGGTGCTATTTTCCAGTGTATGGGAGAGAGTGGGTCAAGCAAGGGAAAGTTGGGATTTATGGTGCTGGCTAATTGGGAAGGATGTGGGATGCCGGGTGAATGAATGGAGGTGAAGTGGTGGTGGTGGTGATATGAGAGGCGCACTTTGGAGGAATTGAATGTGTTATATTGTGGAGGAGAGAGTGAGGATGGTGGTGGTCGTGGTGGTGGTGGAGAAGGAGAGAGTGAGAGAGAGAGAGAGTGAGAGAGAGAGAGAGTGAGAGAGAGAGTTACAAAGCAAAGTGCATTTTCAGATTCTATGTTTAGGTTACCAATCTTCCGAATCGGTCTTCTTCTTGGAAATAATAGCAAATTCATGTTGGTCTATTAAGCAAAGGGATTTATTTTCATTCTATATACCAACCATTTGCACCACTCAACAGCGGGTCCATCCAATCCACCCATCCAACAGCTCTCTCTCTCTTTCTGGCTGGTCCTACCACCTTTCTCCACGCCACTTTCTTCCTCTCAAATGCTTTCTCCTCTTGGCCTCTCCTCACTTAACTTACCTCTCTCTCACAATTGTCGTCACAGTTTGCTTTCAAGGAGCCTTCGTCTCCTCTCTCAGCATATGAGGAAGCAAGGAGGCAGCAGTATGACCCAGGAAAACCATCTTTCCATCTGGCTGCAATATAAAATATGCATCACTTGACAGTTGCAAAAACATTAATGAAATGTTACATGTTCCAAAATGTAGCAGAGCAGATGTGACAAAATATTGAAAGCATGATGATGTGAGGAAATCACCTGTGCAAATTTCCCCACAGACTGAACAACCGCATAGTAAGTGCATACATGATAGGAGATGCTCGCATATATGAACCACTTAGGCCCATCATCATGTTGTTGAGTGAGTAGTCGAGAAGATGTAGAGTAGTGTTAGGCGTTAGTGGTGGTGCCTTCTTCGTCGTCGTCGTCGTCGTTGTCGTCTTCTCATCTCGGACGAGGTGGTAGTAGTGGTGGTGGTGGCTGGCTGTGAGTGAGACAGACCCCAAATTTCTAGTGCATTTGGCTCCTTAAAATCCTTTCCCTTGTGCTGTCTCTTTCTTTTCACTCCATCCAAATAAATACTCTCACAACTACTACTCCACTTAGTCCTAAACTCTTGACTACATAAATAACCTTTTACTTCTCATTCATTCATACTCTACATCCTCCTTCTTGTTTTGTCCTGCCCGATAAATCAAGATATATGTGCTTATCTAGCAACAACGGCTGCTCCATTATCAAAATCACTAATGAAAACATCGAAATCAACTCAGCTTGTTTGTCAACTTCCACGCTCCTCCATTTTTCTACGAAACTCTCCACCATTCGGTTTTTTAGCCTTCTCCACCCGTGACTTTCCTCGCTCAATCTCACTATATATACCTATGCTAATGCGTTCCCCTTTCACTCTCTAGCCTGCCTGCCCCTCTGCTGTTACATGCCTCTGCCTCCTCTCACTCAGCAGAGCAACCTCTTTGAGAGTGGACGATGGTGCATGATGGGTTGAAAGGAAAGCAACACTCTACTTTCACAGACCATCGTCTCTCCTTCTTCTTCCTCCGTCGTCGTCGTCGTTTTGGTGGATACATAATAAATTGGATATCAATTGAACTCGGAGAAGTTTCACATTGTGTTGCTGAGGTTGTGAGGAGAAACTCGCTTTTGTCATCCTACTCCACTCATGTGTGAAACTCGTTATTTCACTGGTCTTTGGGGACTGCGGAGAGAAGTGACCAATGTCCATGCCATTGTATGTACCTTCGTTTGGTGGAATTTTGCATGGAGGGAGAAGAAATGAGAAAGTGTTGTGGTGCAGCAGCAGCAGCACGCATAACTCGTTGGATTGAGGAGGATATAGGATTGTACGATGTGGTGGGATTGTTTTCCGGTCAAACTAATGATACAGGGACCCTAATTCTACAAGAGAGATATTAGTATTTTGGGAATAGCGTGAAAAGTTGATGGGCTTTGGATTTAGCTGCTACTGACACTTTGGTCTGGTGTTTGGTCAGCAGTTATATGGCAAATAATGGTCCCAGATCAAGGTGGATATGCTTCCCATCCCTCTTCATGCCAACAGAGATTCCAAAACTTGTTACCTTTTGCTCAAAATATCTCTAGGGGGTTTCCTAAAGCCGTTTACGACGGACCCGTCTGCGAAATATTTATTTCATGCGTATTATGCTCCTCATCTCAATAAATCCAGATCAGCCTCGCAAACCCATACCTCTTTTTCCAATTATTTTAATGTGCCCCCTACCCACCTACCCACCACCCACTCAACTCCTCTTCTACGAACACCATTCGCTATGCATGCACCTACGACATTCAAATAATGTAGCTGTTTTGTTAGGTGCTGTAGACATGTAAGAAATAGGATGGATTGAATGCCTCCATTCAGCCCGACTTGGATGCGGTCATTCTATGTGTGCTCTATCTAAATGTATTGTTTTACCCACACATGACTCTTCCCGAGAAAGGTTGTTGTCGGCCGTAAATAGATTTGATCATGGATATCTGCCGTGTGTGGAGGTGGAAAGGTGGACTGGCGGCGAGGGGAAAGTGTATTTACTATCACGACTAATGTGGCAGTGGTCGTACTGTGCTGGTAATAATGATAATAATGCCCTGACTCTGAATTTGAAGTGAGGAGAGAAGAAGGCAAGAAAGTAGAGGAAAGTGCGTTGAGTGCCGGAACAAGTGAAAGAAAGTTTTAAATGGGAGATGGAGTGGGCGAGCAGAAGTGGTGACAGGTTGGCTGGCTTACTGGCTGGCTGGGCTGGGTGGCTGTGGTGGGGAGACAAAAAGCTGGAGCAATGAATAGATGCTGATCACGGAAAATGAAATAACAATGTCATCAACTTTCGAGCAAATCCAGTTTCCATGTTGCAGTCTGACTAGGAAAGAAAAATTAGTGGTTAGTGGCTAAAGACACAAGGCAGGAGAGAGAGGAGACTTTCATAACCTAGTCCTCCTCACTACTCCACTCTCCACTCTTCTTTGTACAGATTCAGCAGTACATGAATTTTGCATTATGAAATATCAGTGTCAATGAACCGGTCCGGTCCCCATTTTCCTCCGACTTTCTCCCCAACTCTCTCCCTTTTAGACATTGGAGTCAATTATCTATGTAAATAAAGGAGGAGGAGGAAGATATGCTTTAAATCTGGATGGCATAAATACTACGACGCGTATTAGTTTAACTTCCCAAAATCCATTAGCTGATTCCTTGTATTCATTCCTTCTCAAATTATTATTATGATATTTTATTCCTCATCGCACTCATTCTCCTTCTCTCTCTCATCTCCGTCATCCGTTGCTATTTAGCAACTCCCGGGCCAGAGAAAGTGCAAGAGAGAGAAAGAGGACATCCAAAATATCTTTCTGTTCTCGAGGGGTTGTACGAGGCACTTATTATTACTGATTGAAAACTCTGCCACGATTCGAAGAGCCACATTACCCAACTCTTAAATATTCATTCCTTAATTTGTCGATGCTCAAACTCAGCCTGTGGTGATTCACAGTTCAGAGTAAAGTCAAATAGCAGTGTTCTTCAAAATCAAGTACTTATGTTTAGAAAATAGTGACGTATTCTTCCCTAATCGTTCTTCTACTCAAAGTATTATTGGTGAAAGTACAATACGGGTTTTCTAACTGCACTCTTATTAGTAAACGGGTATATGTAAATAGCTATATGCAGCTGAAAATGGTAGAAGGAATGAATATAACGCATAATATGAATCTCATAATAAATGAGCATAATTGTGAGTTGGATGAGATAATCGATTCTTAAAAGGAAAGTTTAATCTCCTTTGTTCTTGCAAAATCCTGAAATTATTCAGTGTCGTGTGTACATATTGTGTTGACGCTTACTTGGTTCAAGTAGAAGTTTCTTCCACAAATCTCTGACTTGCTGCTGCTGCTGCTGCTCTGCTGGTAGTGGTGCTGGTGGTGGTGGTGCTTTCGTTCATTAATTCTTATGCAGAGGAGAAAGAACGTAAATTAAATTATCTAATGGACGTGAGCAGCACTCTTCTTGGCCGGGTTTTGGCCTGGCGTGGTTTGTATGTATGGAGGAGGAGAAGGAGGAAGACGAAGAAGGAGAAGGCGAAGGAGACTACAAGAGACGAAATTAGCCGTAGGGTTATGAGTTCTAATCAGCCGTATTATAGGGGTTGGGCCATTAGTGTGTCATGTTTGCATTTGAAATTGGGTGGATATTCATTGAAAATCAGTACAAGAGCTTTTTGTTGCTTCCTCTCTCTCTCTCCGCGAACAAAGTGCTCGCTGCTGTCTACATACAAGATGAATCTAATTAGATTTAAAGTTCGTTAAAACTTTGTTAAATTATTTTGCAGGAAAGTTTTCATTATGAAAAGAACTTGATGAGGTTTTCCCATCAGGATAATATAGTTGTATAATTCTCACGACCATGAAGGAATCAGGAGGAGGAGGAGGGAGGTGGTGGTGGTGGTGATGGGTGGGGATGCATATGCATGTAGGTGCTACTTTCCAACTATCTCCCCATTCTTCTTATTATGCATATTTCTCAGCAGCAACATTCAATTTACAGTTACTGAGACGCACTTGGCTATACAAAGAAGGGAAGGCATAAAATAAAACATGCGGATGAATATCCGGATAATAAACTGTTCATTTCACGCTCTAGTCGGAGCTTGCATTCTTGGGCACGTTGCTAAATGAAGGCCATAATCATTTCTATTTAATTCGCAAATTTAATTTTAATGTGGATACTTTGCAGTAATGAAAGTGTATTATTTTCCATGCCAAAATTGTTTGTTATATAGTTTGCTCTTTTCCACATTTTGCTTTTTTCGATGCGAATACCAACTAAAAGTTGGAGTAATAATTTAACAAAAATTAATTTATAATAAACAGTTGGGAAATTGAATTTGCATGCCTGTTTGTGGTGGTGGTAGGGTTGGGAACAAATCCTATTCCGGTGTCTCTAATTACACCAAGAGATTAATATGAGCATTAGGTGGGCTGAGAACTTGTTGTTGACTGAACCCCATTACACTCGATGAAAAATTTATCTTTTAATTATCAAAGTTCCTCTTTCCTCCTGCTCTGCGACGACGACGACTTTCTCCCTTTCTCCCATTTCCAATCCTGTCCCATACACCTGTTTGGTTCACTCGTTCGTTGGTAAACTCTGCTCAATTTATAATAACTCAACTAAACTAAACTCTCTCTCTCTCTCTCGGCGATCTTGCCGTGCTGTGAGAAGGATGAGGAGCAAGCATCTGAAACGGTGGACGGATAAATGCCTCCATACATATACTTACTATCTTGTTCCGCTAGCTGGTAACTAAATAACAAGGATCCATCCACAGTCTCCTGGCTTACGTGCTTCACTTAATTTCCATCTCGGGGGACCCACACAATCAACCGTTTTCAATTAATCCATCTCCCAAATTTAGTTCGGATAAATATTGCACGCCGCAAATTGCTTCTCCCCCATACTTTTGCATCTCTTTTCTCCATGCATACCACCACCGTCGTCGTCGTCGTCGTCGTCGTCTCGCTCTCTCCTCTCGCCATCCGCAGCCAGCCAGACTTTTCATCCAACATTACTAATTAACTTGAAGCCAAGCGTTTGATCTCGGCCACTGCACCGCTTTAATCTACTCTCTGTCCTAACTTATTAACGAAACACTCTCCGGGCTAAATTATTATCAATTTTTCCACCCCGCCTCATCATCAGTTCATTTACTGGCCCTCCTCCTCCCACGTCACGTCACCACTTTCACTTTGCTCCTTTGTCCCCAGAAATGATCAACTAACGTGGAAAAGAAAAAACTCGTTACGGAATTTCTGTCACAATCAGAACGGATGAGGCGGCTGTTGTTGGTCAGACTGACTGTGGGCAAGTATATCATTGCCGTGCTGTTTGTGGGGGTGGATGAGGGAGAGAGAAGAAAGTCCTGGAATGTGGTTGGCAGATGAAGGAGGTAATGAGTAGAAGGATGAATACAACAGTCCAGACACGTAATAAGTGAATAGAGAGAGAGAGCGAATATGGCCAACTCAACGGGATTAAAGGGGTAATGCCACTGCTTTCTCTTAGTTTGGGAGCTTGCCCTGTGCACTTGTGTTTATTGTGAAATGGACAAGTTGAGAGGAATTTGGAGGAGAGAGAAAAAGTGAAACTGGATGAAATATTATGAGCCCAACTCCCTTTGACTTCATTCCCTCGTGTATCCAGAGAGTACGCCAATCGGGATAATAAGTGCCCGCAGGAAAGGATTCCGACCTGGAATTCTTTTGAAGCAAGGAGCCTACTTAATTACATTTTCACCTGGTTCACCTTTAAAACTAATTACTTTCTCCGCTGCTCCCTTCCCTCCGCCCCATGATTCCTACCTCCAATATCATTCCAATCTCTCAATCATCCCATTGCTTGCATTCTTCTGGGTTTAATTACCATACCAGAGTTATTCGTCCTCTCCCATCTTCACCTCTCTCTCCTCGTTTTAATCACTTCACATCCGCACCCTCCTCCTCCTCCCATCATATCAACCCATCAGGCATAGCATCATGCTCAAATTAACTGGAAGCAAAACATGCACGCACTCGTCTCCTTTCCCAAAGGTATTTGGAAATTAATCGGGATACAAGCCAAATATTAGTCATTAAAGTGTCGGTGGAGATATGAAGAATGCGGAATGCCAAGGGCCTTCAGCCTTTGTCTTAGTAGTTTATTTGGAGCAGGGAGAAGTTGGAATGTGAGGTGGAGAAAATGAGACACTGGTCGTCGTCGTGGGGAAATACATCACGAGCTAAAGAGCTACTTTATATAAATACTTACGTAGCACATAACTTTAACCATAAGTATGTAAGTAGTGCGGGTATGTACCTAGTAGGAGGAGGTTATATTAGATATTTAGGTGTATGTGGGAGTTATATGATTTCGTGAAAGTCGTGGAATTAGGAGATCCAGCTAGCTAACTAACTAACTTGCTGCTGCTGCTGAGCTTTTCGGTTGATGAATTTGAGGGTCTGTGAATTTAGGTAACAATTAAGGAGGAGGAGGATGGAATTGAACGGTCTGGGAGTGAGCTGTCGTTGGAAATCCATGATGTGTTAAAGTTGGAAACAACAAGCGTCAAAACAAGTTGGTTTCTCTGGAGGAGAGGATTGGATGCTCTCGGAGAGAAAGTGGTAGTAGTAGTAGTCGTCCTCGTAGTGAGTGAGTGAGCGAGTTTGGCACAAGTTTGTTCTACCGTTGCAATGTTAATTAAATCTGGGAAAACAGAAAGAGACGAGAGCTAATGAAACGTCAAGTGTGGGCTACTGTGATTAATTGCCTTGTGATATGTATGTTTATGTTCGGATACTGTAGATCTTGATAAAAATACCATCAGCACAACCAAATGCCTCCCATCGACCAGGCAGCAGGGAGAGAGACTCGACAACGAGAAAACTTAATTCTTTTCACCCAACACACTTCTGTCTCTCTCCAGCAGCAGCCAGGAGAGAGAGAGAAAGAAGAAGATGAAGAAGTAAACTCGCTTCCTATTTCCAATTACCTCCAACACTCACCTTTCTCCCATTAACTTTGTATCGCCTCTCTGCCAATGGTCATTAGGAGCATTGTTCCTCTCTCTCTCTCTCGTTGCTGTCTGTCTGTGCTGGGTGCCACGACTGCCACGCTCTCATTTCAAACTTTGAACTCGTTCCACTTGGCGAGAAAGATTTAGACAGCAATCAATTTACTCGTTACTCAATTCACTTTTGTTTCAAAAAGTAATAATATGCTGCCAGATGTTGGGTTGGCAAGTTAGTTGCTGTCATGCCAGTCATGTTAACGATTAGAGTTGGATTGCACGAATCTAGCCTTGCTCACTCACTAATAATGCAGTGTGCGGAAATTGAAAGGAAAGAAGGTCGGTCGGATATGAGATTAATTTTGATATCTGCTGGAAGTCAACGTGAGCTTTCACTAACGGAAAATGCCACCACACCACCACCACCGCCAACCTTCCTCGTCGTCATGTCGCAGCCATATCCCCTGTCATTTGTCACTGTTTGGGTTAAGCTTGTTTGTGCACAATAACTGGATGGAAAGTTCTCTCCTGAGCATCCCGTCCACCAGGATATTTATTGCACACTGTCGCTCCTATCTCTCCTTGCTCTAGGAAATTTGAAATCTCTTCAAGCACTTCATTTCCATCCATTTCGTCCAAATCAACATGGCCATGCATACACTGTACATCCTCCCACCATCATCATCCTCCTTTCAGAATCACGCACATAAATAGACGTCTCCTTATTTTTAACAAAATATTCAAAATATTCACCACTGTCGTCGCGTGTCATGTGATTCAATGCTATATCAATGGCCATCGATATAGTCTTGCGTATACAACACATAATGTGTACTGTATGTATGTCAAGGTGTGTATCCTATGAAATATGCTTGGTTACAATGACTCTACATCAATTTCTAAAAAATAATGAAAGAAAAAATCCACACAATTTTCCTACTTATCGATTACAAACATTTATGAAACAAACAAACCCTTCTCTAAATTACTAAATTATTTTTGCTACAGGAAAAACGATGACGAACGGGTCCGGATTACTGCGGTCCCATGAGGAGGTGCAGATTTCATCACGAATTCCAGTCGGAGTTTCCACCAACGAGTGTGCTGGATGTGGAAAGCGAATACGTAAGGGGAAACGCTTTCATAAAGCTTATTTGTTTGATCGCACTATTTAAATAAGGCATTTGGGATGATGATGACATTAGTTACGCAATTGTCATTTGCTTTCCCCGATTTCTGTTCCAGTTTCAGATTTCTTGGTGGCATAATATAATTTGCAATATAATTTCCCTTGTTCCAGGGGACCGATTTCTCCTCAAAGCCCTTGACTTGCTCTGGCATGAGGACTGTCTCAAGTGCGGTTGCTGTGACTGTCGTCTGGGGGAAGTGGGCTCCACCCTGTACACCAAGGCAAATTTAATCCTATGCAAGAGAGATTATCTCAGGTGGGTAAATTGCTTGCATTCAATACTGTTTAAAATTAGCACAATAAACAACAGTCGTACGCAAATGACAGCACTTATTACGACGACATGACATGACACTACACTAATGGGAATGACATGAATGCAATATGTACGTAATGACGACGCAGTGCAGTCTGTACCGCGACGTAATTATTACTAGCGACATTAATTCAGCACAAAATTCATTTGTTTGTCCGAGTCTCATAAATGTTTGAAACAAGAACAATTAAATACTTAGGATTAGTGTGCATTGTCCTCTTGTCATATTACAGTAAATTGGATGAAATGAAGCACTGTGTTTGCGAAAAGGAGATATAATAATGATAATGTTACAAGTAAAAGTCAATTTAATGAGGTTTTTGAGAGAAGTGGAGAGAGAGAGAGAAAAGGGGAAAGTTTTGCACTGCGTCGTCCTCCTTGTCTAATAACAAACATGGCAAAGTTGAGACGAACTGGTAGTTGAGGCTGCTGAATCAAATGGAGCAATTAGAGAGAAGAGAAAAGCGAGAGTCTGCTGTTCTCAAGTTTAATTAATGCAGAAAAATGAGCCCTTTAGTTTTAGATGTGTTTATATAAAACGTTGAGCTTTAAAGAGCTTAATTATTATTATTATTCTTTCATTAAACGGACCGCAGGAATGGAAATTTTTACTGAAGCGTAAACAAACTAATTGAAAACTCACAAGAGTAATAATTCACTGTCAAAAACACGATGTAGATTTCAACCCTCAAACAGATCTGTCCTGTATGTAGCCGTATTTAGTGATGGTGGGTAGTAGTAGTAGAAGCATGTACGTAAGTATTTCTCTAGTTGCAACTCTCTTCTCTCTGCAATTACTTTATGGAAATTCGAATAAATTTATCTAAAAGTTTGCCTCCCTTTATTGCCTGTCATTTTTTAAAAGTTAATCTGTACAGTTCGCACTCAAAGAAAAAACTTTTTGTGAAATGTCATTCATTTTTGTGGACCAACCAAGCGAATTGTTCCCTTTGACGTATTATTCATTTCATTTATTTTTATTAAAACACAAATTAAAAACAAGTCCAATATAAATGTTATGCGTATCTGGTTCTATAAGCGTGTCTAACTGAGCGAAGATTATTATTTGGAATGTCTTTGTTTCAGACTGTTTGGAAACACGGGATATTGCGCAGCGGTACAAAATTAGAGATTTCTGAATTTATAGAAAACATGTACACACCGTTGTATTAATGACTTGATAAATTGCAGTGTTCCAAAGTAATACCTGCATTCGAGATGGTAATGAGAGCCAGAAATAATGTCTACCATTTGGAATGTTTCGCTTGCCAACAATGCAATCACAGGTAGGAATCTATCCCCCCTTTTAAAAGTCTGTCTGCCTGATACAAGGGCATTTACATGTACACAAATGACGCCAATGATTGTCTTATCTCCAGGTTCTGCGTGGGTGACCGATTTTATTTGTGTGAGAATAAAATACTTTGCGAGTACGACTATCAAGAGGTGATGGTGTTTGCCAACATGACGTCGTATAATTCTGGAAACTTGGCGTTAGTGAGAAAGTAAGTTTTTTCTTCATGTCTGCTAGTGATGACTTTATTGATTGATTGTAATTGATCGGATGAAATCAATGTTTGTTTGTTAACGGATAGTAACAGTGCCGAGTCAAGAACGAAGATGGGGAGCAGTAACAACAACAATGGTAATGGTGCCGTGACAAATGGAAATCATTGTCTTTCACCAAAACTTCAGTCAATTAACCAGTCTTCAGTAAGTCGCCATTCTACGCCGGCAATACAGAAAACGGCTGCGTAAAGGAATTAACACATGGTGCCCAACTAAATACGACGATTACCAACAACCAACTTTCTCCTTCTTCTTCTTCCTCTTCCTCAGCATCAAGAAAACAAGACGACTTTCACTGCGTATCATTCTCTCAACGTCATTCATCCGATTTCGCTCAATGTTACCGAGATTGAACTTCTTAAAAAACCGCTCTCCTTTACCTTTTCGGTTGTATTGCTATATAATACATATTACGTACATATGTATAAGTTCGACACAAATTGTACCGCTCGTTGTTACAAACCTCATTTTACTTAATTGTTGATAATAATAAAATAATAATTTATTCTTAGAAAATAAAAATCACGGAGCTGCTTTTAGCTTTGATAAACAGAGTACAATTTCTACATATACATACAATTTTTTGACGTTTGGTCGCATTAATTTGTTGAATTTGTTAAATAATTAAATATTTATGGTACGAAGATGGTTCCAATAATGCTATGTTAGTACACAATTTGTTAATATTTACGTATGTACATGCTAGTCTGTAATGTCAGCATGTCGCCCATTTTACAATGATTGTTTTCCTGTATGCTCCAGTGATTTATGTTGCTAAACGTTCGTACAATTACCGTTGCTAAGTTAAGAGTTGATCAATACAAGTATTGACTCTGTTCCTTTGATTCTGCGAATTCGTTCGTTCGTACCATGAAGCAGACAAGGTATACGTGACTACGATTTAAATACACTACGATGGATTTACTTAAATATATACTTGTATATGTACTTGTATAGGGTATCCACAATAACCGTAATAATAATAATCTAATAAAGCAATGAGTTTTAGTTCTCTATTGAATCCATGAAGTTCATTTCATCATTTATTCCTCTCTGGTTGCATTTTAGGGGAGCTTAGCCCGTTTTAATTAATCCTTGCCACTTTCATATAATCCATTGCTTGACTAATTTCCCTGTCACAAGTGCTTCGTTCGTGCGATATTGATTGCATATGATTTCCAACGGTGGACTAAATGTTAAAATAATTTTCAACTTTTTTTAACCAGGTTGCGATTGATGGTCCCGTAATGAATTTACTTTTATTACGCATTATCCGAAGTTATATTATCCGATTATCTCTCAATCCGACTTACTCAAACACACCGGTATCTACGTCGGTGTGGACAAATGTGTGTCCAAAAAGTGGAGTGAGACTTTCTGCCGAGACAGGAAGAGGCGACGGACGGAAGTGTTTGTTTAACGATGAAGGATTAAGAGGGATAAAAAGTTGAGGAGGAAAATTGAGGAGCCGAGGACAATTTGAATTGAAGGGATAGTATGAAATTGATTAGAAGCGATGGAGAGTTTGAGATTGAGTTTATGATACTCGTCGAGAGAGACGGAAGCGGAGGGACGAAAGTGAGTATGCTGAGACTGTGGAATTAATGACAAGAATAATAATTTAGTTTTTCGGATTATTATATTGAAGGCCTGCTTGGTTGCGTCTTGTGTCTTGAGGTTGAGTGTAGAATTGAAATTAAGGATGGAGACAGAGAGTTTTGGCCAAAAGTGATTCGCTGATGATCGTAGCGGTTTGTAAAGTTAGTTGGCTGCTCCTGCTAAAGGAGAGAGAGAGAGGAGGATGAGGGAGATAAAAGAGACCAAGAAAGTTGGTCTCGCTCTCTCTCTCTGTGTATGTGCTTATGAGGAATTTGTTGGAATTCCGCTCCTCACAAATACTCGTGTATATAGGAGAAAAGAGACTAACTAACGAACCCGTCCTGCTATACATGCATGTCTACTTTGATAGGCAATTGCTTGTAATGAAGTTGTAATGGGTTTGATGAGTTGGGAAAATGTAATGTTCATTGAGGGAACCATTAAGCAGGATTTCTCATTTAGTACTCAGGCAGCCTGAGGCTTATCCGAGAAAAGTCTGTACTTTGGAGAGGACCCCCTTTTATGGGATACCAATGTAAAACTATGATCTTATCGGCCACTTTCTCCCCGCAACTCTCGTACATCACTCGGGCTCAATCATCTCATTTGCAATCTCTGACAAATGCTTCCCTGCTCCTGCTGCCCAGCCAGAACCACGGGCAAGGAGAACCCAACCTCCAATTTCCAATGAGCTGATTCTTGATTATTTGATTGGGAAAACTTACCATCTCACTTTCCACTCTGGTGGTTAACTTATAACTAAAGCGCTGCTGATACTGATGCCCTCACTCAATTTCCTTGCTACTCTTCGTCTTCTTCTTCTTCTTCGTCGTGACGGACGACGCTTCAATTTATTCCGGACGCTGCCAAAACTTTTGTTGGAAGAAAGGACGCCTCATTTTGCACCAGCCAGCCAACTCACTTATGTATACTTTACTTGTGAGTTGAGAATATAATGCTCTTCGTCATATCTTGTTACGCGGCCTGAAAGGCATACCTGTCACGACGCCCACACACGTACAACACACATTACAACAACAACAACGGGCTCATCATGGTATCAATTTTGCTGATTATTATTCCCAAACAGGTAGCGTGTGGGTTGATGATGAAAATGAGACAATAAGCTTACAAATTGAGAGCACATTGCATTGTGAAAGTCGGACCGTGTAAGGTAATCATGATAATGTGGCGGCAGGGAGGATGGTGAGGATCATGTCGTTGACTTGCCCGTTCCTTTGCTCACCACCACCACCGTTGAGAAATGTAATGCCAATAGTACTGATAGCTGCTGAGGGACTCTGCATTGTTGGAGAATGACTTGCGGCAATGGAGAAGAGCTGGAATAATAGTTGGCTAGATGGATGGGCCAGGTTGGTAGTGAGATTACACGGTGTATAGTCAAGACTGCTGCTCTGCGTGTCCCTCACCGACCCTAGGATGACGACGACGGCGACGACGAAATCCCTGCTCCCTAAATCTTTCCATACCAAGTTGAAACAGAGTAGTAATCGGAGGTAATTGCTGTAGAAATGAGCTTCTAACTTAACCATTCAGGGTATTCCGACCCAGGGTTGGATTGGGTTGGGTTTTTTGGGTTTTAATGGGTTGTGAATGAATAAAACCTACTGGGTTTTACCATGTTAAATGGGTTTTATTCGGGTTTTATTTGGGTTTTATTGGGTTTTAACTGGATTTTGACTTAAAACTGCGTCTTAATAGTTGAAAACACCTCTCATACGCTGGGTGAAGTTGTTTCACTGGAGCTATTCTGTTTATTTCATTAATATCGTAATTTTTGAAAACCCGAAAAAAATCAACAATGGATAACATCCCTCACCATCCAGTTCTACAAAAATTTCGGAACCGATGCAATTTCTAATATGGAAAAGGAAGATTTTATATGGTTAGAACTAGGTTTTCAATAGTTGCAGGATTTGTTTGTTGAGTTTATTACCTATTAAAACCCATTAAAACCCCTGGGTTTTTCCGAACCCTGCCAACCATTTGTCCTTCCTTTGTTTTATGCCCGTGGAGACTAACACAATTAGACTTTGAGTAATGGTTGGTAACCATTCTCAAGAAGACGACTTTAACTCTGCTCAAAATGCAACTTTTTCTCAACAAACTTTCTTTCTCAATTACTACGGCTGCCACCTTTTTCTCCTATTTTCCTTCCTTCCTCCCCATCTCCTCTTATCCGTCCGCCTACGTCTTCACAATTATATATTGAACTTTGAAGCTGCTCCGGCTGCCCCTTCCTTATTACACCAACAACGTCTAATTACTAACCATTTAAATTATTAACCAAACAAAATTCCTTCCCTTCCTCTCTCTCACTCACGCCGGGAAAAGTGACGGGTGGTTCAATTATTGCCGTATATTTCTCTTTCCTCTCCTCTCCTCCTCCTCCTCCACTTTACAACACTTTGGGAGAAGCAGAAGGAAGAAGGATGAGAAGAAGGCTTGCCGGTTTGCATAAATCATACACCACGACGAGAGCTATACAGTCAAAATCCCTGTTGTCTCGTCTTCCTCTTTTCCTTCAGCCGTCCATTCTCCTCTCAATCTTTAACTTTCTCTTTATTGTCCCAACATTTGAGACGACGACTCGACTCGTTGATTATGATGATGTTAAGGTGATGCCTGTCCAGCCTGTTGTTCAAAATTTGGTTGCTTATTATCAGCTCATAAATCTGTACAGGGAAAGTTTTGGCTTTTACATAAATAAGAATACGAAACGAACATTTTTGGGGTGACCCTTTTTTTTAGATATATGATTTTTTAAGGTATTTTCCACCAAAAAAAGTATCAATATCATATTTTCTATTTTTCAATCGTACCAAAATTTCCATTATGAAACTGCTGAGGATGAGGTTGAGTTGCGGAGGCACGCTTTGAACGAAAAAGATTTTGAGATATAATAAATCATAACTCGAAATCGTTGATCATGAACCTTTTTGATCCCTAATCATCAATTTATACAATATTCATTTCCTACGAGGGATTTGAGGGTGGAGATCCCGCATGATTTTATACATGACACAGCTCATCGTCCACGACTCCTCGACCTACAACCCATATTCCTATACTTCAAACGGGGTGAGACGGCAGAGAGGAGGAGAGAGAAAAGTTTGCCACTTTTCTGGTCTCCAAACAGTAGTAAATCTTGAAAAATCAACTTTGCACAGTGATCTATAAGTCGTCTCCGCGTGCTTTATATCTATCGCATTAACAATCACCACGGAGTCGTGATCCTCCCAAAGAAAAGTTTCCTCATCGCTTCTATAAATCCATAAATCCATTGTTCAATTTAAAAATGAAATTTCAGTTAAAATTGCTTTTCTCTAAACTAATTACTTCTTTTTTGTTTGCCAGATACATATCTCATCGTCTCACGCAGACGAGTTTATTTCCAACTTAGGAAACCAAACCACCACTGACTAACTACCCTTTAGATACCCTGCTCCAAGTGTGAGGGGAAATGTCAACTGTGGCTGCGGATCAGAATCCAGAGCGTGCGTTGGATTTGTGAGTCAACAAAAAATAAGGGAATCACACACAATCAAGTAATGTCGCTCTGCCACCACCACCACCGCTGACTGCACGTTGATTTCAATAATTGATTCTGATTCCAAAAAGGGATTAAAACGGTCGGCCGATTCATTGACGCAGTGGTGGTTTCATGAAATTAGAGTCACATCACAACCAACCACCCAACAACCCTCCTCCTCTCGTGCCGCATCCTGTACACAAAAAGGGAGAGCACAACAACCGTCGTAATGAATCTTATTTACATTGGAGTTGTGGGAAAACGTAATTTAATGCGATGGGATGAGGGTCAGGAATGGAAACAAGACTAGTGACACTCGAATAAAAAGTGACACCTTCCATTATCAGCGAATTATCGCGATCTGCTCCATTGCTCCCTTCACACTGTCAAGTCAACCAGCGACCAGAAACAGCAAATATATCCATCCATCCAAGGTTCACAGCACTTTTCCATCTTCTTCACGGCAGGCAATGAATGAGTTTTTTATTTTATTACGAAACCTACTGAAACGTAATCAAACGAATGAAATTGTCCTTTTTAGAAGAGATGCATGTCAGAATTGGAACAATGGGTGCATGCGAGTCAAAAGGAAGGAAAGCAGGTCAGGTCGTTGGGTTGAGCAACGATGCGATGAAAAATGATACTCATTGGTAATCTACTAAATGAATAGTCAGTCATCTTATTGAATTTGCATGTAAAAATATTTTAGAAAAGTTGATGGCAGGCAAACAAAAAAAATCAGCATTTTCCTCAAATCAAAGTCATTCTCTGGCATCAAGTCATCTGTAAACATGTCAAAAATCCGGAGACGGGATATCTCTCATCCATCCTTTCATTCATGTGCTTTTTTATACGGCAGCACCACCACCATC